AGGGATTTCTGTGTTTCGACGAGACCGAACCTTGTGCTTATTGTTGAACCACGTATAAGTGGGGAGACAGCTAGGAATGTAATCCGCAGGTCGGGTTATGATGGGAATTTAATAATGGATGCTAATGGCTTTTCATGAGGCATTTGGGTGCTATGGCTCAAGGCAATCCTCCAAGTGACAGGCGATCACTGAATTGGGATCAGATGATTCATGTTGTGTGTGTTAAGCGTGATGGCGGAGGTACGGTTGCAGTCTCTACTATTTATGGCAGTCCTAATGCCGCTCTACGTCAGCACCTTTGGGACGAGATTCGACAGCTCTCCTCCAAGACAAACCTTCCCTAGGCCCTGATTGGTGACTTTAACTCCATCTTAGGGGCCCTTGACAAATGCAGAGGTGTCTCATACAAGACGCACGCGTCCGACCCTTCAGGCGATGTGTAGACGACAGTGGGCTGATTGATATTAATTTTTTGGGGCCAAGATTTACGTGGCATAGAGGTGGTCTCCAACAGCGACTCGACAGAGCTCTTTGCAACCAGCAATGGTTGACCCGCTTTCCTGGGACAATCACAAGACATATGGAGAGAGTAGGTTCAGATCACAGGCCCATTTTGCTTGTTGGTAACCCGGATGGCAGGAGGAAACCGGGTCCAAAACCTTTCTGGTTCCTGGCTGCTTGGTTGGCTCATGATGACTTCGACCGGGTACTCTCGGACGCTTGGTCACGGGGGAAGGATTTTGTCCAGTCCTCACAAGCGCTGACGAGGGAGCTGCGCATTTGGAACATGATGATTTTCGGCCACATCCTGCGCCGCAAAAGAATCCTTGCGCGTCGCCTTCGAGCCCTGGAGGAAGAAAATGAACGGGGTGGCAATCAAGATTCACAGGATCGTGAGGAGGCTACGATGAGGGAACTGGAGACTACTCTCTGGCAAGGCACATGCTCTTGTTCCAAAAGTCTAGAACACAATGGGTGGCGGAAGGGGATCGAAATACGCGGTACTATCACCTATCCACTCTCAAGCGTCGTATTTTCAACAGGATCAAAGGCTTAAAGAATGAGGCGGGCGACTGGGTTTTTGAGGAGGATGAGCTGTGCAGGATGGCAAGGGATTTTTTTGTTTTGCTGTACACAGATGAACCGGGTTCGACCTTTACTCTCTCGGCGGCTTTCCCTCAACTGGACTCAAGCATGAGGGATGCTCTCCAAAGAGACATTAATCAGGAGGAAGTCTGGGCAGCAATCAAGAGCATGGGGAGCTTTAAAGCCCCCGGGAAGGATGGCTATCCGCCGATTTTCTACCAGAGATGCTGGAAGGTGGTGGCTGACCGGGTGTCGGCTTTTATTGCAGGCTTATTTGTTGATCCTCGGCTTATTGCAGGAGTTAACAAGACATTACTGGTGTTGATACCGAAGAAAGAAAGCCCAGAAACTATTGAGCAGTTTCGCCCCATAGGTCTGTATAATGTGATTTATAAAACTCTCACCAAATGTCTTGTCCATAGGATCAAACCTTGGATGCGATCCCTAGTCCATCCTACCCAGACCAGTTTTGTCCCAGGGAGACAGATATCGAGCAACATAATCATCCTTCAATAGGTTGTCCACTCCATGAACCTCAGGAAGGGTAAGCGGGGAGCTATGGTGATCAAGATCGACCTAGCAAAAGCCTATGATCGAGTTAGCTGGCGGTTTGTGCAGGAGACACTATTGCTGGCGGGGTTCCCAGGCAAACTAGTTGAGGTGATTATGGGTTGCATCTCCACCCCAACCATGCAAGTCCTATGGAATGGTACATGCACGGAGGATTTTCAGCCAACCAGGGGTCTGAGACAAGGATGTCCGCTATCTCCGTACCTCTTCACCCTGTGCATGGAGAGACTGAGTCATACCATTCAGGCTGCGGTGACTTTGAACAATGGAAACCATTTGTCATTGCTCCAGGTGCTCCTCCACTCTCTCACCTATTTTTTGCTGATGACCTAATCCTCTTTGCAGAAGCGACTGAGCAACAGGGAGAGGTGATCATGGAGTGTCTAGATCATTTTTGCCAAGCTTCTGGACAGCAGGTTAGCAAAGAAAAGTCTGTGATGCTGTTTTCAAAGAATACGCCGCGAAGTGTGAGCTCAAAGGTGTCTCGACGGATGGGCATTCCAGCAATACAGGATCTAGGCAGATATCTTGGAGTCCCGGTTTTGCACAGATGAGTCACGAAGGAGACTTACAGGTACATTCACACCAGGATGGATAACAAACTGGCGGGTTGGAAGGAGAAAAGCTTATCTTTTGCAGGACGGGTGACGCTAGCCATCTCAGTCCTCAGCACCCTCCCATCGTACGTGATGCAGACTACACTGATCCCCCATCTCAATATGTGATGAGATAGACAAAAGACTACGGAGATTCATTTGGGGAGCTTCGGAGGAGAGGAGGAAGATCCATCTGGTGCATTGGGAAGCTGTCTGCCGCCCGAAGAAAGAGGGAGGTTTGGGTCTTAGGAAAGCTCATGAATTAAACCTTGCTTACTTGGCTAAACTTGCTTGGCTTTTCACGAAAACCCCGGAGGAGTTATGGGTGCAGGTCCTCCAAGCAAAGTATTTCAAAACCATAGGTGGACAGTTGGTGGCGAAATCAGCGGCTCGTTCTTCCACTCTATGGCGGCGCAGTCGCAAGGTGTGGCCTATCATGGCGGCAGGCATGTCCATGAGCATTAAAGATAGGCAGACTACGTCTTTCTGGATGGATAGGTGGATTGATAACGGCGAGAAGTTTTGGAGACTGCGCCGCCAATAGACCCCAGTTCCTCGGTGGCAAGCTTTAATTTGTCACGCACACAGGTGAGTGGGACTCAAACCTCCTACGTGATTACCTACCTGAGGGAATGGTCTTGCATGTACAAGGGATACAACCCCCTATTGCAGAGTCGGGAACGAACGTGGCGACTTGGGGGCCGGAGCAAGATGGTCGGTTCCGAGTGCGTTCTGCCTATGACCTAGCATCCAACACGCAGCAGCTTGACCAGGAGTTTGACTGGCGCATTATATGGAGATGGCGAAGACCTGCTCGTGTGCAGCATTTCATGTGGCTTGCTGATCGAGAAAGGCTGCTCACCAATGCGGAGAGGGGGCGGAGACACCTGACGGACCAAACAGAGTGCACATCCTGTCGATCTTCACCAGAGACAGTCCTGCATGTGTTGCGGGACTGTCATTTTGCCCGGTTAGTTTGGATACGGTTGCTACAGCCTTCTGAGTACAAACATTTTTCAGATGTGAGTTGCAGGAATGGATTGCGAAGTATATAGCGGAGGAGCACACTGGCCTTTCTTTTGGCCTTACCTACTGGTCCCTATGAAGGACTAGAAATGACCGTGTTTTTGGGGACAAGGTCACCACAGTTGAAGCTTCCTACAACGCGTCCTGGCATGGATCACTGTCGTGAGGCAAGTCATGGACAGAGACCGGACTGTTCACCAAACGTGTCCGCCCATTAGAACGGAGGAGTTGATCTCTTGGAAGCCGCCTACTCCCGAGTGGGTTACTCTCAACTCTGATGGCTCCGTAAACCACGAGACAGGTTCTGCTGCTGTCGGGGGCTTGATCAGAGATCACCTTGGGCGGTGCATTGCAGCGTTCGCTATTAACCTGCGAATCTGTTCGATTACCCGTTCGGAGTTGAGAGGCGTTGTGGAAGGTTTTCAACTAGCGTGGGATCTGGGATACAGACGCGTCAAGGTGGATCTCGACTCCAGATGTGCTGTCCACCTTATCAACAGCAACGCGAACCCAGACCACTAGCATAGTGCTATCATTGATCGCCTCCAAGCCTTGATTAAGTGCGATTGGGAGGTTGTTTTCTCTCATATTTATAGAGAGGGTAATAAGTGTGTTGATTCCCTCGCGAATCGAGGCATGCCTTACCGTTAGGTTTCCATTCCATTCCTGTTACATATTCTTCTTTTGATGTATTGGATTATGTATGATGTCCAGGGGATTTCTGAACCCCGTTTGGTTATGAATGAAGGTTAGGATGCTCCGCATCCTTTTATAAAAAAAAAAAAACAGAGGTGCACCACCTCTCCCAATTCATATTCAATCCAAGATGAATCAATCCACTATTGTTGCTTTTGTTGTAAAAGGACCCTCTGGCCCATCCAATTGCCGCTGCTCACTAGCATATCTGAAGAAGAAATCAATCGCCGGAAAGATGCAGATCTTCACCCGATTTTCGTCGGGAAGGAACTGGGAGTGGGAGGACTCTGGCCGATTACAACATCTAAAAGGAGTCGACGGTTTACTAGGTTCTGGGGCTCAGGGGAGACAGGAGGACACTGGCCCATCCAATTGTCGTTGCGTCTGGTGAAGGTGACGCGACGATGGCGAGCCCGAATAATCAAAAGACCTTAGGGTGAAAATTATTGTTGTTGCTTCTGCTGTGGTGAACGAGGAAAAGGACCTTCTGGCAATCACTGTGAGTACTTCTCTACGGTGGTTGTTTTTCAGAATCTTGCCATCGCATGCAACTCTCAGCTTCGCCATTGTTCCCAAAATCGAAACAATCTGAGAGAAGAGGAAGGTATTGATGATGGCGGGGAAGAGAAGAGACAAAGATGGACAGTATTGATTCTCAACGCCACCTCCGCTAAGCTCAAATGATTCCAAAAACTAGGGTCCCGGTAGATTCCAAGTAAGCGGCAATGTTATCGGTGAGATAACTGATGATGGCAGTGGAGAAAAGAGACAGAGATGGGGAGGCGAATTGTGGAGGAAAGGGAAGAAGAGAAGAAATAAGGGGTAGAGTCTAGAATTGTATGCATCGTGGAGGAGATGAATAAAAAGTAAAGGAAGTAAGAGAAACAGTAGGGCCGGAGTTGGAAAGAGAAACATGTAGAACGCGCTATTTCCAAATAACAACCCCTAGGTGCTATTTAGATTACCGTGTTTATGCGTTATTTGCTGCCTACAAAACCACATCAGCCAAATCAATTGACAAACTAGTTATTAATAAGTTATTTGGGCCAAAATAACTCATTCAAAACACTCTGTCCAAACTACCCATATTATATTTGTAGAGGGGCTGCTTGCCCCACTTACAGTACATAAATAATTCTGGATACCATGTTTGGGGTAACGGTAACAATTAACGAATCACCCCATGAGGAAACCAAACAGGCAAAGCAAAACGAAGGCACCTAGAAATAGGCTCCTTGCTCGTAACACCTTCCTTACCTGGAAGCTGTTTAAGCCAAAATGAAAATTGAAGGGCCATTTCTATTACTTCAGTCTCAACACCACCAAAAGAAGCGCGTAAGAAGTAAACATCACATTGACCTAGTACGCTAGCTGTTGGAAGAGGAATTCCGGATTCCTCTGCTGGTGACAGAATATGGAGCTGATGCTGACCTCAGAGAAGGTGACTTGTCGATGTAGGCATACCTTTCTTCCCCGTTCCAGTAAAGGATTAGGCGATTGGTACAAGAATGTGACCAGCTATCACCTGCTCACCATCACCACAACTTCAGCGCTAAGAGGGCTTTGTGAACAAGGGAAACATAAACCAATTACTACATCTTGGAGTTGGGAGAACCAACAGATATACCTAGTGCAAGAGCTAATTGGAATGAACTTTCTATGACTTTCGTCGTCACCTGATTCAGCAAAACAACCTGTAAACAAAATGCCACCAATTAGTTGCATGAGGAAACCAATACCAGCTCAAATTTGGGAACTACAATATTGTCACAGTCGCCTTTGCCTGGCTGTTAATTAGAAGAACTGCAAAATGATTGATTGATGCATGTATCACTTTTCACACTACTTCTTCAGTCTTCGTGTAACCACAAGGCCAACTGATTATTTGTCTTCTTAGTGAAGGGATATAAGATGATAACAGAAAAGCTAGTAGGCAGATTGCCTTTGCATTTTGCCTCAGTCTCTTGCAATTGAGAATATTTAACTCTTTGTCTTGATTCATGGTTTGAATGGAAACTTAACCCAGGAATTGCATACCGCTAAGCTGAACTTTTTGGCAAGTTTCATCAGCTTCAATGCCATTGCACTAAGTACCCTCGTTCTCTGAGCTAAGTCATCAAAATCTTGACGGAACTGGAAAGCAACACTGTCTATGACAACGATCTTAACCTGTTAGTCACAGCTGACAATCAGTAAGCCAAATGCCATTGTGACTGTGAGAGGCAATGAAGTAGAGGAATACCAAAGCAGTATGCAAAACTTTCCAAGCGGGTGAAATTTCCAGACAGAGAGCAGTATACTAGACGACATACAACATATTTCAGACTGGATCACTGGATAAGATCCAAAGACATGGGACCAATTTCCAAGAAGAAGACAGAAGATAAAGGCATGCACACAAGGAAGCATCAACCCACATAGGGACTCCTAAATGTCAACCGATTTTAAGGCTGAATGAAAAGAAGTGGAAGCTGAATATAAGCTGACGTCTTTGGATGATTCCACACGTAATTTCCGTTCTTCATTACCCAAGGTGACGTTGTTTAACAAATTGTCACCAAGCGGATGGCAAAGATTGAGAGAGACTCGTCAGTCACGAGTCGAGTTAATACTGCTGTCACGCGTATGCATAGTCCTAGCACTAATTCAGGTCGGCCAACCCTGGCCGAATAGTTGTTTCCTCAACTGCCCTACCGGCTCCCTTGAGCTGACGGCTCGCAAACTAACTAAAGCGGAAGTTCATAATTAAATAGAAATATGAGATGGACAGAGATCATGATGGAGTGCAATTTAAGCTGACGCCACCCAGTTCAGCATCATAGCTAGATAGCAAAATTTCATAAATGTGCGGTAATGAAGAAGTCATACTTACATCTCGGTGCTCTGAGATAAACTTGTCCAGGTAATTTTCCAACCCAATTTGCTCCGTGTAACTGCAGACACGGAAGTAGTATATGTTCTCCAGGAAATCCTTGGGTCCCATCTCCACTTGGCGAGCTTGAATACTTTTGCCTAAGAACCTCCCATATTCTGTCATGTCCTCTGTGCATGCTTCAGCAATTTGTAGTACGCGTTCCACCATGAAACTTCCTTCCGTATCTAAGCAGTACTAAAAAGCACACCATCATTATTTCAGGAGCTACAGAAGTAGAGCAGAGAACATCTGAATGCCCTAACTCACCTATATAGATGGCTTTTCCCCCAAGACCACCATAATAGGATGGAATCTGAACATTGACGGCAAGTTGAATCCTGTCAATTCCAAATATCAATCTAATGTGCAAAGAATTCTGATTCACTTTCGCAACATATCCCCTGAAGCTGAAGTGACAACAAGGAAGGAAAGCATTATGTACCCGAGCTGTGTTTTACCAATGCCTGGTACGCCACCTGCAGAGACCAGGCAGGAAAACACGTTTCTCACTCATAGAAGATACAGCAGCATATATCTTTAGTATTGGCGTCCACATTAACGTAAAAGGCTGCTAACCAATTTCTGTAACTTCTTTGCAGCTTATTCCTCCACCAAGAATTTTGTCAAGTTCTGCACAAGATGTGGTAATGCGGGTCATTGATTCCTCTTCCAGAAGAATATCCCAGGCATTCTGTGCACCTATCACAAACAAAAAAGAGAAAACACTAAATTTAGATGTTATCACTTGAGGTTCAATCAATAGGAGGTAAATAACATCGGAGGCTCTGTCAGCTACAGATAGGGCTTTCAAGATTCATCCAACTCGACAACCCCCATTGCCACCAGCAGGCTCTTCTAAGTTGTTACAATGGGAGAACACATAAGAGAAAATATAGGGTAACTAGTAAAATGGCTGAGGAAATAGTGTATTGGTCAACTATAAAAATCGAGTGTTATATGTATTTTCACAGGGAAATAACATCGAACACTTGGCAGGTGCGTTTCTAAATCGAGCAGCAATTGATAGGACCGCCAAGTGCCCATCAGTACCCACATCCACTAAGTTTCCATCATCACAATAAGCGATTTAGGAAGAAATCGGAGGAGCTGATAACTGGAGATTCAAAATTGAACGAAAAAGAGGGTTGTATTGCTGAAAGGAAATTAAACTACCGCAAGCAAGATCTGACGGAGAGGCAGAAGCGTGGGAGGTGTAGCTTTGTGATAGTAGCCTCTTCCTCTGGATCGCCGACGATATGGGAAGCTTCCATGGATCCATATCTCGTTCTCTCTTTTCGTGCGGCTCACCGGGCGCTGGCAAATGAGCGCCTTTTGGCGCCAATAGTTGATATATCTGACACAGAGGCCAACGGAGAGGTCGATTGATTTCGGGTCAAGCTCAATTGTTCCAGGCCCAACCGGAATAATCCTAGACGACGGCTATTCGGTTACTGATCCAGCTCAGGGCAGCGAAGGGATGCGATGTAACTGGCCGTTGTGCCATGTTTGGGCTGGCACGACATGGGCCAGCTTCAAATCCTCATATTCTGTATTAGGGTTGAACAAAAAATAGCAAGCCGACCCACACCCGTCGAAATCGATCCAACTCACTTGTATTTATCGTTAAGTTAGAATTTAACATTGGATGAGAGTTTTCTTTTGTAAAACCCGGGTCTTTTGGGTTGGGTGTGGATTTTGGGTTACACAACTCATACAATCCAACTCGTGCTTCGACTATTGACATGAGTGTTCTTATCCAACACATATATTTATGAGACAATTGTACCAGATTGATCAATTAGAATTCCTCATCCAAACGACCGTTAAAAGATATTTTGCCATATTCTTCTCTCATAGTCTCTGTAACTTAATGCATTATTCGACTTAAATTTAGACGTAGATTTAATATAGACTATGATTCGACTATTTGCCATCTTCTTTCCTGTGTACAATTTTAAGAAGATAACTTAATATTGATGCGTTCATTTATAACCTCTTTAACTTATTTCGGCAAATATTTATGGAAAAACTAGACATATTTTGAAGTAAATCACATTTTATTAAAAACCAAATAACACATATACATTTATACTTTTAACCTCGGTTTATTCAACTTAAATTTTAATTACTTTTATAATCTTTTTGTGGAGTAGAATAATTTTATTTTCTTCGTGTTAGCTTGGGTTTTTGCTTAAAAGTATGGCCAGCCTGACCCAACTCAATTCTAAACAAATCGTAGGGTTCTAATTTTTTAGGGTGGGTTCGCATTTAGTATTTTCAAAACCGTAGTGCATGAGTGGGGTGATTAAAATGGTTAAACCCAGACCACCTGACCCATGTACACCCCGATTGTGTATGGCATGAGTAGGGGGTTAGTGTGCTAACACCCAATTTTTAAATATGGTGTTGACAGCATCCTCCAATCAATAGGAAGTCTCAAATTAGCCGACTTCTTAGCTTAAGTAGTTGACCACAATTCAACCTTATTGGAGGGAAGGGCCGACTTCTTAGCTTAAGTAGTTGACCACAATTCAACCTTATTGGAGGGAAGGGCCGACTTCTTGTCATTAAAAAAATTAAACATCAATTGTCCACTTGTCCAGCTCTATGTTCATATCTATCACATCCTGATGTATGCGATCTAGTATCGGAGATTCGAGTTGCATGAATGACGTGTGGATCGACAACGTTTGATATCACAGAGGCAACGAGCAACAGTGGTGCCCGTGTTGAAGATTGCTGACAACGAGCAGAAATCAATTGTGAAAATTTTGGTTTGAGAGAGAGAAGTCGAAGGACGAAGAAGAAGGAGGAGTCAAGGAGGAAGGGAGCTCTCCCCAATTCAAGTCTTCTTCGAGTAGTCCTCTAAGGTACTAGGGGTAAAATCCCCCAAACCCTAGAGTTAGGTTTTGAATGTAGATGTAATTGTGTTAGGGTTTGTGTGTGGATTTGTTTGTTTCGGTGATTAATATGCTTCATTTATGCTTGATTATGCTATGTCTTGTCTCTCCAACTCTTCCCTACTAGCCTACAACTGAGTCTGAGAAATAGGTGGGGAATTTTAGGGTTAGACTGGATTTGAGCGCCTTAAGGCTAATTGGAGGTAGATGAATTTTCTTAGGGTTTCTTTTAGTGGACGAAGCGACCGAACCCCTGCTAGAGAAATGCCTTCCTGAAACAATGCTAGAGATGATCCAAGTGTCATCGATCCATAATTTTAGTGTGCATCATAGGCTGAACCTATTGAGAGGAACTACTGATCATTCCTTAGTACGTGATCTTTGACTAAGGTGACAATGGGTCTCTAGGAGCGTACTAGGAGGAGGCGGAATAATCATTGAAACCCTCAACTTAGCGAGTTTTGCACCTTATCCTGCTAACCCAACATAGTTAGCCATTTTTATGACAAACCTAAGTTATCCCGAAGTACCTGCTTTGTATCCTTGCTTTCTCCACTAGTATTTTCAATTGACCTCCAAAAACCAACTAAACATATTGGCTAGATAACAAAAAGCGCGAGAAGTAGTCTAGGGTATCGAAACCCATGGAATATGACATTGGTCACCACTATATTAGCAACACCATTTCAAGTTATACTTAACTCGGAATGGGGTAGTTAGTTAGGTCGTGCAAACAATTGACACGACCCGCACGGGAATTCGACCAAGTATGATAACGGTGATGGATGCAATGGTTACAAAAGCAAAGCTGGTTCGTGGGGGAGGGGGAGATAAGTGAAGATACATGTGTGTGTTTTGTAACTCTAGGGCTGACATGAGGGGTCATTTTTTCTTTGAATGTTATTGTTCTAGATCCCTAGTGAATAAAATGGGATATCTATTTTGTAGCTCAACCTAGGATCTCAAATTGGTTTAAGCTGAAGTATAGTCGCAACACAATTCAACAATGGGGCGAATTATTGCTCTGCTATGGTGTTCTTTGATTACTTTTATCTGGCAAGAAAGATGTTGAAGATCTCCTAGAGAGGCACCCAGATCTGCAGAAGTGGTAGTTGAGTTGTGGTGTCAAGATTTGAAGTTTTTTTTTTAAATATGTGTAATGGTTTATTGCCAGATTTTCACATGAAATACTAGAGTCTTGTTTGGGACGATATGCTCAGCCTCCCCAAATGCCATGTCAGCTTGTATTTCCGATCGAATTGTGAAATATCGTTTGGTGTTGGTTCACTTGGATCGCTCATTGTATAACAAAAACACACTGTACAGAAAAAATGACAAAAAATTCCAATATGATTTCACAAACCATAGTTAGCCCATATTCTCATTCTTCTTATGGAACTCTTGAAGCCCTGACCGTATACTACCATCCTTCATTGTAGTTGGAACGGTTTGGGTTGTGTGTTGATTGGTCGCTTCAAATCGCAACTCAACCACTTGACCCACACTAACAAGACACTCACATCGATGTGCGTAAACACTAGCTTGCCCACTTTGGAAAGCTGAATAATGAGTGGACAATTATTATTATCATTCTTGTTTTAAGTTTTCCACCCGACGCTCCATGAGTGATCACCAATCACCATTGTTCCTTGTCACTAACTGACAGTGTCGTCCTTTCCCACATGGTAATGCCAATAGTTAGCCTAGACAACACAATAGTGCTTCATTTATTTAAGCTAATAGTGGAACTGTGACTGAGAGACTGTTGTCGTTTCGGTTGGGGCTTGGCTTAATGAATTGCGTAGGGAATTGGCTTCTTCTGCTTCTACGAACCTACTTTACTGGTCGTTCGCTGCCCCTGTTGTCGGCTGCTATGCCCAGCGAGTTGTTCCTTGATGATCATTTTTAAGAATCATCTGTTCTTCGCTCCCTCACTCAATACTCTATCAATCTCCTCTTCCAAGATTTCTTCTTCTTCTTCTTCTTCTTCTTCTTCTCGAGGTAAGAGTTATGGATATTTTTCTTTCCATTAATATTTTGCTTACCTTAATGGTGGTGTTGCAGAAATTGAATGTATGATATTGTGTATATTATATATATAACGATTTGTTCTTCGTGTCGTGCATTTTCATTTCCAAGCTTCAAAAATGCCGACAGTTTGGCGGAGAGGGGTGCACTACTTTGAGGGTCTGAAAGCCGCCAATATTCCCAATGAGTTAATCGAGAAAGGCCAAAGTCGAGTCATAGACTCTTCCCTCATTCTGATTCACGAGAGAGCCAAGCTCAAGGTACACTCCGAACGATGACATTTTCATTATGTTGGTCAAGAGGCAGGCTAAATATGGTGGAAGGAGAAGAAGAAGATCTTGCTCTTGTGTGAATTGAGAGATATTAGTATTAACTTATAACCATGTTATAGGGTTTGTAACGTTTGAATGCTAGATTTTGGTGTAGGCAGAGCTTCTGTGTGTTTCGGAAGGGGTCGTAGCATCTGCATCTCTGATTGGAGTGTAATTGAGGGATAACTCTTCATTCCTTCAAGGTCCAACTTTTGCTCCTCCTCGAATAAGGGATGCCATATGTTGTGATAAGACTAACTCAACTACAGAAGAAGGTAGGTAGTTCAAGTGAGATTTCAAGTGGGACCTAAATTTTCGCTAGCCCTTGTCTCCCCTTAATTACATATATTCGTGTAACTGCTTTTATTACTCATCCCATACTCATAGTCATAAGGGTCCGAATTAATTAGGGAATGGTACCTCCCAAGTGAATTTTCTCATTTGGGAAGTGTTGTAATATGTTTGTTGGTTAGAAATGTTCATATGACATGATGTTGTGTGTGGGCTAAATGCAGGAAAATAATTACATGATCCACAGGTTTTAACTGATCTTGGTGATGCTCATGTACAAGAGATCATGGATTGTGGTGTGAATGACCGCGGGTTAATGAATGTCATAATCGAGTCTGTGAAACTTGTGATGGAAGAGCTGATTAATCTTATCTTATCCTTCTTGCACCTATCTGCACCGTAAGAGCAGAGCAGTCTTAATGGCCTGGGTTTCAAGTAATATCAACATGCAAAGTTCATGATATTCAAGCTCTCAAAAGTTTGAGAAGATTGAGAAATTCATAGAAGTTGTTACAAGCAAGTTTTCCTCTATTAATGCGGGACTTAGAAGCCATCAAGCAAGTCTTCAAAACTTCGAGACCCAAGTTGTCAATCTCGCTGAAGTCCTCACCGAGAGAACTTAAGGAGTCTTACCTTCCCAAACCGTGGCAACCCCCAAAGATCCACGGGTGGGGTTGCATGCCATTTTGCTCAGAAATGGGAAGGTAGCTCAAGAGTTTGAAAAAGAAGAAAGCTCAAGAAGGGAATGGTGATAGAACAAGAGCATAAGGAGCCAAAGGAAGACGAGGCTATAAAGGCATCACCAACACCACCTCACGTGGCCGAGTACATGCCTCTCCTTCCTTTCCCCACAAGAGTTCACAAGGATTGTTTGAAGGTGAACTTTTTGCAAGTTCATGGAGATGCTAAAGAAGCTTGATGTCTTAGTTCCATTCTTGGAGGCTTTGGCGCAAATTCCAAAGTACGCCAAATTTCTCAAAGGGCTTAGTGCGTGCTAATTAAATGCACCGTGAAGATGAACCAAAACTCTAAGGTGGTCACAAAATCTTCGAGCTTGGAGATCTTATCGGGTTGTTGATACCCTTTCCCACTTTGTGGTTGATATTGTAAGAAATGAAAGTGTGTTTCTTAAAATTGAGGCCTTGGTTGAGGAAATGAGAGTCTTGGTTGATATCCACCACTAGGCCCTTCAAAACTTGGGGATCTCGGAGTAGCCGGTGATGCCCATGAAAAGTTCGCATGGTTGCGCCATCCTGCGTTGCCTGTATTGCTATAGGGGGATTTTTTGTTGTGTCCCCTAACATTCGTAATGAAGTTAACTTGCTCCTCCAGGGTATTCGCCTCCATCATAACTTGGAATTCCTCCAACATGTGGTTGGGACTTGAGCACCATTCACAAATCATCACTAGTCTCTTGCCTTGATTTCTATCCTTCAACAATATCTTGGTCAACCCATCCGTCTTTGCCTCAAGTGAAGGTCTTGCCTCGATAGCATGCACTCCTTTCCTACGAGTTCGCCTTCCTCTCCTTGTCATGCCCCAATCATACCCCTTCGCCGCTATTTCTTCGAATAACTTGATCATTTGCACGGGTTTCTTATTGAGCATGTTCCCTTGACACAAGAAATCGATGAGCATACAATCTTCTTGGAAGAGACCGTTGTAAAAGATTCCATTCTTGAAATTTCCATCGTAATCGTGGTGAGGGCATTAAAGGAAGAGGTCGGTATAGCACTCTCAAGGATCTCTCAAGGTTTCATCTTCCTCTTGAGCAAAGTGAGTGATCTTCCTTCAAAACTCCGATATCTTGGTATGCGAGAAGTACCTTACCATGAACTTTATCATCAAGTCATCCCAAGAGACAATCGAGAGAGGGGGTCGCTTATTGAGCCAACTTTTTGCCTTGCCACTTAAGGAGTATTGGAAAAAGGTTCAACCTAAATGCTTCTTGTGGCACTTCATTCATCTTTATACCATCCGTCCACTCATAGAACCGTTGATATGTTTTCTTGGTGACTAATTTTCAAGTCCATGAAACTAGATGTTGCTTTAGATCATGGTGATGAGACCGGTCTTGATTTCAAAATTGTAAGCCTCTATAATCCGTCCGATAACAGAATCGGATGCTAAATATAGGTGTCAAAACAAAACCCGGATGCTAAGTATAGGTGTCAAAACAGAACCCGACCCGTGTAACCCGTCCGATAAACCGAGCCGCAACCCGACTGCAATCCAAATTGACTAAAAGTCAATAACCCGCAACTCGCTGACCCGTAACTCGACTAACCCGCAAGCCGATTAACCCCCAACCTGATTGACCCAAATCCGACTAACCCGCACCCACTTGATTGACTTGAATAATTACTATATTATATAATATATTGTCTTAAAAAAAAAGATTTTCGTTCTAAATCTATGCAAAGCAATTTTTCATTTCGTAAAGGGTTAATAGCATGTTATGCCCTTGTACTATTGCAAAATAATAAACATACCCATATCCTATTTTTTTGCACCATCATGCCACTCTATTCCCATAATGTAAAAAATAATACCCTTTCGTCCAATAACCATCCAATTGTCGTTAAGTGGGAGGCGAATGACTTCTAGCAGATGAGGAAGAAAATGAAAAGGAGATTGAGGTGCTTGCTCCTAAGCCACAACTAGGGCTGGAAGTTTGGTACCGGTATTTGGGATATACCGAATTTGTCTATATTTGGTATTACCGAATACACGTATTATTTCTTGGGATTGGGATTGAATTTCAATTGTTATTCGCTATTAGGGATTACGGGATTGGGATCGGGATATACCGAAATACCGATCAATACCGAAATATAAACTAGTTTGTATTTTATCCTCGCAACTAGACTCTCTCAGTTACTACTACATGACCCTCAACCACCAAAAGTATCATTTAATTATACACAGATCTTTCGATCACTATTAATAGTCGTCTCTCAACCTCCAATTCGTCAAATTAAAGATTATCAATGACAAGAACTTGAGATGTCTCCTCTCCTCCATTCTCCTTAATAATATCATAATTCAAAACTCTTTGCTTAGTCTTTTCCCCCTAAATTAAACAATAAAATCTAATTTATATATTTAATTATTAATTGCAAAGATAATTAATTTCGTATTCGATAATACCGATTGGGATACCGAAGTACCGATTGGGATACCGAAATATTTAGGGATTGGGATTGGGATACCGAAATAATTTAGGGATTGGGATTGGGATACCGAAATAATTTAGGGATTGGGAATGAGATTGACTTTAGGGTGTAATTCGGTATTCGGGATTTCGGTATTTGGTATTGGGATACCGATACCGTACCGATTTCCACCCCTAGCCACAACCAGTGGTGAAGGAGTATGTCCCTCAACTTCCCCTCCCTACTTGGTTGCATTAAGGTCGACTGGAGACTGAGTTTGCCAAGTTCATGGCAATGCTGAAGCAGGTTAACATAAGCATGCCTTTCGTGGAGGCACTATCGAAGATGCCCAAGTATGCCAAGTTTATGAAAGATCTCCTCACCAACAAGAGGAATCTTGGGGAAATGTCAACAGTGATGCTCAACGAGGAGTGTTCTGCCATCCTGCAGAACAAGCTACCGAAGAAGCGCAAAGACCCAGAGAGTTTTACTATCTCTTGCATGTAGGAAAGTCCTTAGCTGATTTAGGCACTAGCATAAACGTCATGCCATATAAACTGTTTAAGAGGCTAAGATCAGGCAAACCCAGTAATACTAGAATGAGCATTCAATTGACTGATCGATCTATTGTGCATCCTAGATAGAGTAGAAACGACATCTTTAATGTCAATCAGTCAATGACACCAAAGGAAAGAGGATATTAAATCAATGAAATTGGAATATGGATGAAATATAATGAAATCGAGCCACTTGGGCTTATTCTAATTTCAAATTTCTTTTATGAAAAAGAGATACACAAACAAGGTGCATGCTCCAATTCGACTTTTTATCTTTCTTAAAACGCTCTCCAACCCCCAATTCAACTTTTTATTTTTCTTAAACCGCGCCCTAATCAATTTCTTATCGTAGTGAGTCGAGAAATATTTTATGAACCATAATATTCCGAATTTTTTTTAATTGCAATATTTATGAAAAAACCCCATGTTTTTTTTACTAATATACAAAATCTGGGAGCCGTGTCCCCTAGTTAGGGTTTATTCTTATTTTTGTCGATTGCAAACATAACTTTACCAAAACAATTCTTCTTCGACCTCGCAAGTCGCATTATCAATATCATCCATCCATACGCACCAACACTCTACTGGCATCTTCTCCGATCAGGTATGCTTCTCGATCTCCATTCTCCTCCGTTCTGTTTTCTGCGAAGAATCTGAGGCCTGATTTCTTTCAGCTCCCTAGATTGTATTTGGCTTCGTCGCATTTCTCTTTTTCTTTTGTTGCGTTTTGATTTCCTCGATTCCTTGGTGCGAATTTTCGGAGCTCTTTCCGAATTGCTTGATTTTCTTTCGTTTCAATGTTCCGAGAAGGCTGCTGAAAGAGTGGGTACACTTAGTAATTGATTGAGTGGGTCATCTTTGTCTGAATGTGTCAATGGGTGCTTTGATCTGAATTGCGATTCTTCAAGCGATGAACTTGATTTGTACTGTCAGAATGATTCTTTTGGAGTAGGAGGTTGGTAACCAGCCGGGTGTTTGCTTATAAATGTTGTCGCTGGACTTTCAGTGAAGCCAATCGAAGTCCTGTATGTGTTTATGGGTCGTTGAGATATACATAGTTCTATGTATTGACTACTGTGATTTTCGCTTTACTGGATGATTCCTGCTTGCTTTTTGGTGTCCCTAAGATGTTTTCTCGACTTGGTAGGTGGCCAGAGTGAACTTTTCCTCCCTGCTTTTCGTTTCAAAATTTCTGGAGGTGGCTCTGAATCTTTCAAGATATGACAGTTGGTTTTCAAGTTTCTTGATAGAAAGGGATGTCCTTACTACACTTTAGGGCCATCCATGGCATTGTGAAACGATTGAGATACACTGGCCATCTCCTATTGCGTTACAGATTTGTGCACTAGAGATTGTGTCATTCAAGGCATAGTAGTCTAATTGCTTCTCTTGCATTTTTTTCTTTTCTTTTGCAGGTGGAAGACTATTATGTTTGCTAGATGTACTTCAGGAGGAGTTTGTCCGCTTGACAGGTGAGTAAATTGCCAAGTTGCTCTATCAGTAGATCTTCATGACCTCTCCCTGGAGAACTTTTGAACAATGGTTACTCCGGAGGATCGATATTCTCCTTTGTTGCATGACAGGAAAGCTTTTAGTTTATCTGTGCCTAAATTTAACCATTAGCAGTAGTACCCCGCAGTTTCATTTCCCCAGTGGAAATTTATGTCTCATCTTAACAGAATGAAGAGAATTGATATATGCATCCCTCTAAGTGTCAACTTCTAATGTTTGGAAGATCACCTGTCATGTGCTTGTTTCACCTTTAGCTTGCTATCCAATATGTCTCTGCAGACCTGGTTGAGATGTTTGTACCAAATATATGTGAGTTGCACTCAACTATTCTTGTGATACTTGTACATTTAGCTAACACTTTTCTCGGGAGCTTGCAGGTTGTGCAACGCTAGTGTTTCTTCTGAAAGAGTAGTCCGTACCTCCAGATTCGCTTGGTAGCAGCTATGCTACCCACTGGTTCGAAAGATAATCAACTCCGCGAGAGCAACAGCCAGAAGGTTCACCCTCAACCAATGGAAGATTCTGTGCATCAAAATCCAGAAGCCCTTGAAACCTTGATATCTAAAATCTTTCAAAACATATCTTCTCTCAAGTCAGCTTACATCCAACTCCAAGCTGCTCATACTCCGTATGACCCTGATAAGATCCAAGCTGCTGATAAACTTGTTATTTCTGAGCTGAAGAACCTGTCTGAACTGAAGCATTACTACAGAGAAAACAATCCCAGGCCGCTGAGTGTCTCCCCTCAGGACTCCCGCTTAGCGGCTGAAATTCAAGAACAACAGTCTCTCTTGAAAACCTATGAGGTAATGGTAAAGAAATTCCAATCGGAAATCCACAACAAGGATTCTGAGCTTCATCAGTTGCAGCAGCAGATAGAGGAGGCAAATCAGAAGAGATCGAAATTGGAGAAAAACCTCAAGCTCAGAGGCTTATCATCATCGACTACCAAAGGTTCTGAAGAAGAAAACGGGTTCTTCCACGTGGATCTAACCCCAGAACTATTCACATCTGCAGTAGAAGCTGCTTATAAAGCCATTCATGATTTCTCCAAGCCGCTGATCAACATGATGAAAGCAGCAGGGTGGGATCTCGATGCTGCAGCTGGGTCCATCGAGCCGAGTGTCGTCTATGCAAGGAGAGCGCACAAGAAGTATGCATTTGAATCTCATATATGCCAGAAGATGTTCAGTGGTTTCCAGCAGGAGAACTTTGCTATTAATGTCAACGATATAACGGTCTCGAAGGAGAGTTTCTTCCACCAGTTTCTCGCACTGAGGGAGATGGATCCATTGGATGTGGTGGGTCAGAATCCAGACTCCTTATTTGGGAGATTTTGCAGGAGCAAGTATTTGGCGGTGGTTCATCCAAAGATGGAGGCTTCTTTCTTCGGGAACCTGGATCAGAGAAACTACGTGATGGGTGGAGGACATCCAAGGACCGCCTTTTACCAAGTGTTTCTAAAATTAGCCAAGTCGATCTGGCTTCTGCACAGGCTGGCTTACTCCTTTGATGCCAACGTGAAGGTCTTTCAAGTCAAGCGAGGGAGCGAGTTCACTGAGGTCTACATGGAAAGCGTTGTGAAGAATCTGATACTAGACGAGGGCAGCCAGAAGCCCAAAGTTGGTCTCATGGTGATGCCTGGTTTCTGGGTTGGAGGGACTGTGATTCAGAGCCGTGTTTATCTTACAGGCATGAAGGTTGCTGAATGATCATAACTCATAAGCATATGGTTGTTGTCCTTGGTATTGCTATCCCTTGTGGCCTCTAGCTGGTCTGCGTTTTCTGTCTGCAACTTGGTACTCCACCCATCTAAGCGGCGGCGGGTAAAGGCAGCAGTGGTGTAGTTGCTTCCTTGTTTCTACAAAGTTTGTATCTGTTAAACCTTCTGTAATCAAGATGAAATGAAAATCATCCCTGGCTTCCTTTTCAAGCTTGTCCAGAATGCGGTAAACTAAGCATAATTTGCGGGTGTGGCCGCTGAAAGGTGACGACTTGGAACAGTTTGCTGGAAGAGTACTCTCCTTTCCGGCCACATGATTATCGAGAATTCTTAGCACCTTGATTTCTGGCACTTGGTTTGCTAATCCGCAGGCAAAGGCCATTGATTCATGACCCACCCACCCTCCCTCCCTCCAATTCAAATGCCAACGGCTTAAACAGTTGACCTCAGTGGCTGCACCTCCAAGGATGCTCTCTGCTCTTTCCTTGGAACAAGTAAAGCTAAGCATTATCTTCCCATCTCTTGAAGCCGTTCTTAGTTTATTATCTGTTTTAGAATAAACAATAATCTCAGATCGTATCTTTCTTAGTTGCTTGCTTTGCTTTGCTGATCGGCCATAAAATATGATTATTGTATGCATCTTACCCGTGACTCAATTTAATGCCCCTCAACCCATGTGAATCTCTCTTCCTTAAATACATCCATCTCCTACGAAATAGAGATCTTGTACACTACAATGACAACCCATCTCCCCATTCCCTTCCTAATCCTCCTCCTTCCCACGCTCCTCTCTGCTCCATTTCCAGTACTCTCCGTCGAGACAGTGCCCCCCAAGTCCTACATCGAGAAACAATGCGACGCCACTCGCTATCCAACCCTTTGCGTCCAGTGCCTGTCGACCTTTGCAAACTCAACAGCTCATCAGACCCCTGAGCACCTGGCACGGATCGCTCTATCCGTGAGCCTCTACAGGGCGAGGTTCACGAGATCCTTCCTCGTCAAAGTGGCGCAGGAGCTCAAGTCGCTGAGACCCAGCAGGGAGCATCTGGTGGTGCAGGACTGCCTGGAGCAGTTAGCCGATGGGGTGAATCAGCTCAGCAGGTCCATCTTGGAGCTCCGTGGCTTGTGGAGAGGGAGAGGGGAAGCGTATTGGCACGTCAGGAACATCGAGAGCTGGATCAGCGCTGCCCAGACGGACGCGTATACGTGCTTGGATGAGTTTCGTGGGAAGAAGATGAGCAAGCTAAGGGCGACGATTAAGGCGAAGGTTATGAATGTGGCCGAGACTGCTAGTAATGCCTTGGCGCTGTTTCAGCGCTTCGTTGCGGCTAGGTATGGAGCTGGCCTCGTCTTCAACCGCCATCCTTAGAACATTCCCGGCAATCCATCTCAACACTTGTGGCTAGCTACTCTGCTTCTTTTTGTGTTTGTTTGAATTGAGGTTCGACGAAAAGCTTTGGCTTCTTTTAACATACGTAGAACTTGTTATTACAGCATAGGTGTAATTGTGTTTTGATCTACATAAATAAATATTCTGTCACCTATCACCTATGCATACAAATTACAATAATAAGTCAAATCTTTTACCATTGTGAAAATCATGGCTATTTTTGTTCATAATGAAAAATCTAGTCATTTTATGCAGTTAATAGTTAATAGAGGGAGGATTCGGTGACTAAGGGGTTGCTTAGTCACTTGACTAAGTCCCTTTCAGCCCTTAGATCTGAAGACAGCAATCTGACGATTAAAAAGTAGGAAGGACTATTTAATTAATGACAGTGGTAGTTTGGGTATTATGGAAAATTACGAAGTATACAAACCGGACTTACAATCAGTACAAACCATACATACATAAAAACAGTACAAACTACAACGACAAAACATACAAATAGATTTACAAACATTACAAACGTATGAACTGTACAAACAATACAAACTAGACTGACAAACAATACAAACCATACAAAAAAGAAAAAACAACCGGGTTGACTTTGGAGGCTCCATCCCTATATAGAGGGCTCTGTCCCAAAGTCAACCCGGTTGTCTTTTAGACATACAAACATTACGAACATAGTGGACAAAAATGACAAACTAGACCGACAATCCATACAAACGGGAAAAAACACTCGGGTTGACTTTGGAGGCTCAATCCCTATATAGAGGAGTTTCATCCAAAAGTCAACCTGGTTGTTTTTTAGACATAAAAAACATGGTTGACAAAAATGATAAACATGGTGCACAAAAATAACAAAGCTTACAAACATTACAAACGAACCCGACAAACATTACAAAATAACAAAGCGTACAAACATTACAAAATAAAGTGACAAACAATACAAAGCATAATAGACAAAAATGACAAACAATACAAACCGAGTTGTCTGTAAACATTACAAACCAGAATTACAAATATTACAAAATAGAACGACAAACATTACAAAACTCCTGCTGCCGTCGAAAAATCTCGTCGGCGCCGAGGAATTATTGTCAGCGTCGGAAAAGCTCTCTCTCTCTCTCGCTGGGAGAATTCCTTCTGTCTCTCCCGTTGGGAGAATTCCTTGGGAAAAAATTGCCACCCTCCCCCTGGGAAAAATGGTCACGATGCCGGCGAATTATTTCCACGCCACCGGAGAGAAGGATCGGCCGGCGGGAATAGGTCGAACCTCTCTGGAAAAAATGCCCAGGTCGTCGGAGAAGGAAGCGGATGCCAGCAACCGCGGTGGTAGTCAAGCGGCGGGCTGTATTTTTATATATTTAAATTGGTAAATAAAAATAAAATAATCAAATTACTACATTGTCCTTCATTAAATTGGATTAATCAGGATCATTGGATTTTAATGAGGTGGAAGGGCTGAGATTCACTTACGGGTCGTTTGCTTCGTGGATTTTAAATATGAGGGTTTTGGTAAAACCTGGATTTTGAAAAACCATGGATATATGATGGATTTGGTGGCATCATGGATTTGAACAAGTCTATTGTTTGCTTGTTGGATTTGATAATGGATTTTATTTGATTAGATTTGTGGATATGAAATACAAATTACCTTGTTACCCTTATGTAATTATATTTCCCTTAAAAACAAATCTAATGCATACAAAGTAACTGAACTTCTACTTTGTGAACTCGTTCAATTACAAATATAGAAATGCATAATAGTTTGAACATGACACAACTCCCTAATTTTTGCATCCAACTGTCGATCCAACAATAATGCACAAGATGAGCATAAAGTGTTAGAAATATCAATAGAGGAGTAAATAGAAGACTCAGTAGACGAAGATGTGAAATTTAACCACAATTGAAAATGTCCCGATTTTTTTATCAAACTCGAGCACCACGCTTAATCCGAAATTTCATCCCGAAATTCACAATTTATGCGAGAAATTAATGTTAAACAAGCCCAATAAAGGAAAGAGACAAGGAGAAACAAACATGAGAGTCTTTATCATTCATTGTTCTATATGAAAAACTGAGGACAAAGAGTTGGAGGCCACCACCGGGAAAGAAGGAAGGGTAGATTAGTCATTAGATAAAATAAGTAGGGATAAACTAGTAAAACGCCATCATGGATTTAAATCCATCACCCAATTCCCACCTCCATAGGTGGAACTTCCAAGTCTGTGGGGTCCACGGATTTGGACCTCCAAACTTTGTGGGCCCCACGGATTTACTCCCTCCAATTCCATCAAGCAAACAATAGACTTTTGTCAAAGTCCACAATAAATGCAAATCCATCACCAAATCCATCAACAAAATCTTGAAGCAAACGACCCGTTAGTCACATGACTAAGGAATCTTCCTAATCACCTGATCTTAGCCCATAGTTAACCATAGTTAATACTGCTGACTGTACTCAGAATATGTTCACGTGGAGTTTTTGCATTGATTTTGCTAGCTTGGATTGATAAAATTGTTTTCAATAAACTCAAATAAGAAAAAGGACAAATAACAATAAAGTACAAATATTAATAAAAGCAAAGATAGGAGGACAGATCCAACAACTTTTTATTATTTTCCCATCTCGTTCTTTTTCAATGCAGCTTGTCGACGATTTGTGAAAAATGATTCTAAATTCTCTACATTTAGATCTAAATTTTCTGGGCCAACTTAAATCTGATGGCTGAAATTTGGTTACTCATTGGTCAGTAACCAGGGGGTACTGACCGTATCTGGAGCCATAAATAGGAGTGCAGTTTGGCGTCGTTGTGTTGCAAAACAAAGAATCACTTTCCTAATAGAGTTAATAGAGCACGAAATATGTTGGGTTCGATTTATGCACACATTTGGGAGTCTTTTTTGCCACAGTAAATTACTTCTCTAGAGGTGTAGGGGCCTAAAGAAGCAATACGTATTTAAACTAATGCTCTTCTGGAAAGTTCTTGGGTGATGGTGCATAATCAATTTTGTAAATGTATTAAGTTGTTATAGGAGTGGTCGAGGATAGGAATTCTATAATCTATATGCTGGGTTGTATGCTGCCAATGACATTTAACGCCAGCCTTGATGTGTTGAAACTGTTGAGCAGAATGCTAGGGTAGAATGAAACATCTGTGTATTCTTAGTGCAACAAGAGGGCTCTCATTAGGCTTGCAATTATTCAGAATTGATTGTGTAATCCATGTTTGTCTATTTGCTTGCCGAGTAGGATTCTTTCAACCTGCAAATTCCCCAGTCGTTCTATTCGTGTTCTTCCTTACCCGCAAGTAGTTTGAAACTGTAGCAGCATGAAAGCGAAAAGAATTTGACATATATTTGCAACTGAAATGTCATCTAAGGTACACAGAAGGGTTCAATACATAAGAACTTACGGCTCCTAATTACCAATTAAAGCAAAATTCCTTTCAAGCGAACCACCATTTGGGAATTTTGCAATCTTCATTTCGAGAGCCAATAGATGATGAGAAACAATGTACAAGCGGCAATTACAGCTGAGAGAATAAGAGTGTCTCTCGAACGGCGCCTCCTGATAGAACCTTTAAAGAGAAAGAAATGGGTAAATGTGTTAACAAAAAGAAGAGGACAGAACTAGTATCCAGAAATAGAGAAACTTCATCCGTGGAGATTGATAAAATACCAAGTAAACCACGTATGATTGGGAATTTGTCGCTTAGCAGTTTCACTTTCCCTTGAACATCTCCAAACATAGACCTTTGAGTCCCCAAGACTGCTCTGGTTGCCTGAGCTTGACTAATAACATCATCTATCTGCATACAGGAGAGCATAGAACCTTGTTAATCAGTAGAAGGCTAGAAGGTCCAAAGAAGCTGTAGCTGATTACGGCTGAAAACAAATTCACACCCTCAAGTTTGTGCTTTCACAGCACGATAATCATACCACAGCTAGTGTACAGCCTTTGTCCCAGTAGAGCTCACAATCAGATAGAATATTCATACACTTCCCAGTACATTATCAGAGTTCACGTTCTAAGCAGTGATTAACAAAAAAAAAAAAAACACATTACATGGGAAATGTTTCCATGTATGGCAGCTCTTTCACGTAATAGTTGCATTCTTGGCGACATGCTTCCAGAAGCCTGCACAAAGGGAAGGAAACCTCTACTTTCAGAACAGATGATGCTTTTATTTCTTTCCGTAATGATTAGAAGAGCCAGAAAACAACGGAGATGTTTTATTAATCTCACCTTGTACTCGCTTATATCCTCTCTGACTGAACTAAGTAATTCAGCATGTTCCTTCATTGAGTTAATGTTTCCCTTGATTCGTCTGAATTCCTAAAGTGAAATATCGACTCTTTAGTTTCCGAAGATATAAAACAATTGCAGAATTTGATGTGGTCATCCACAAAATCCAAGCAGATTCAGAATCAAAGAGAAAATAAAAAATGCATCTGAGAAATCATATGATCTATGAAACAGCCCAGCCAATAACCAACAAAAATTTTCGGTGAGGAAATCGTTCACTCAAGTTATTATAGACACAACCAATACCCAAGAACAGACTGGAAAACATGGACACTATTCGCTATGCAAGCTTCTCCTGTCCACATCCTAAAGAGCATGAAACAGTGCTCGGCGATATATATTAATAAAAACGACGAGACAACTGTTTCTCCCAGAGCTAAGTAAAAATTCATTTAGATGGTATCTTCCCAGATAATAACACTCATATGTTAGTCCTTATTGAAATAGATGGGAACACAATGAAGCAGTACTAAAATTCAAAATGAGATACCAAAGAATCAGGTGAATTTTCCATTCTAGGCTTGCAAATGTAGTTCATCTTTTAAGAAAAAGGCAGCTAAACAGCAGAAAGGGAATGGCCAACCTGAGTACACTCATGGAGTATGTCTCGATGTCTTGCAAGCTTTTGGGTCACTGAAGTAGTTGAAGCTGCAGATGCTGCGCATCTACTCATGGAATCATTAATATCTAATAGCTTCTCAAGGAGCGATTGGATTTCCATCTCCGTAGACTTCCATGATCTACCTGACCCAACAGTTGGTGAACCAGACTCTACACTACCTGAACCCAAATGTTACCATGAGCACAAACTACTACAGAAAAGAATCATCAAACATCAGAGGAACAGCACAGCAATCTAGCTAATTAAGCACATCTAGTTTCTCTAGAAGCACCAACTTAAAAAATAACTCAAAAGTCAAAGAACTAACAGAAGTAGCAGAAGCATTACAGTTCCAGCCATGTCGAACAGAGCAAATCCATGACGCAACAATATGCTAATCCCCAATATTGGGACCATTCAAGTGCTTGAAGTAAGCCTCCAAATGGGAAGCAACAGCACGGCGATTCAAGGACGTGACTTTATCCAGTTGGCGAGTATAACAGAAAGGACCCAGATCAGATCTCCTATTTAAAAATATTGCCAAATGAGCCTTCTGGTCATGTGAATGTTGTTGAGTGATAAATGAAATTCGGATCCTAGCTCTTTTTTTTGGTAGGAATCCTAGCCCTTTCTAGATTTAGTATTCTGCTTCCAGTCCTATGATCCACATAGTCAATGTAATCGGAATAAAATGGCACAGAATCAAAAGATCAATTGTCGGAGAGCCGCTGCAGTGAAATATAACGGATCATCCTGCTGAATTTCAGTTCAACCCAAGCCAATTGATCTAGAACTTAAACTAGCCAAAACCCCCCATTTTCACTTTCTGTTCGCGACTCTATAAACAGGGAATCACAACAATTATTTTCCAGGAACCAATTGAAGGCCCAGAATTTAGTGGATCCAGTAATGCCAAGCGATTACATTGCAATCCGCCATAACCAAAGAGTGGAAACGCATTTAGGCAGTTATAATAGGTCACATAATTTGGAAAACTGATGCAACTGAAACAAGGAAAGGAGAAAGGTGATTACCTGCTTGGGTGAAGCGGGCGCCTAGCTTAGCATAAGAAGAGAGCTTGACATCGAGATCTCCCTCGATCTTACGAGCCTCTCGCCTGAGCTCTTCCCAACCTGATTCCTGCAGTTCCAAACTTGAATCTGTCATATTGCAGAGCGGCCGCCGGATCCTGCGAGCTTTTGTCTCCCTATTTCAACGGCTCCCTTCTTCTTCTACTACTTCCTTCTTTTCTCTGCTTTGTTCTGTGATCCCAAATGCAGTCTTCACTGTTTTTTTTTTCCGCCCCTATTTTCCTTGTTAAAAGCTTTGGTACTTTTTGTAGTGAAAGCTTCTGAAACCAGTTTATAGTACTGTTACGCCGTTTTAACAACTAATATAATCCAATTGAGTTTAAGTATATATAAAAACATAATTTACTTACAATATATATTTATATTAAATAAAAATATAACATTTTAAATATAAAAACAAATATTTAGCGATGACAAAAATATCTGTAACCGTGGATATTCGACCTAATCGGGAAGGATAAAACTCGAGCCTGAATATTGCGAATATTGGGCGGGCATGGTTTTCTCACTATCCAACCCAAACCGTCCGATTATACACATGCACATATATTTTTTCTAGAAATAATTATTATTTTTCTCTAACATATTTTATATTTAGCATACAAAAAGCCGAGCATGAGTTTTCATATGAGATCACGTTTTGCACTGCTCACGGCCTTGGAGTACACACCAAAATTGTTATTCTTGCTCTGCTACATGTATAAATTTATAACAATGGGTTTTGAGTAAGGGGGACTAGATTTTTACTCCAAAACACCGAAGGGGCGATTCTAGAGAGCAATAGTGGCCTATGAGTGCTCTATGAGCTATTTTGGACGATCAAATCACCATTGAAGGTTGAAGAACATCCCCTAGCAGATGAAGATTGGAGATTATAAGCTTATATTGTATTCTCTCTCTTCTTCTCTATGAATCAACTTTTCTTCACTTAGGTAGATGAACCCTAGTTCTTGATTTTGGTTTGTTGTTAATGTATGTGACAAATCCTATGTTTGACTACTCCTATTATCTATTTGATTGATATTTATGATGAATTGCGTGAGTCTTGATCCCACTACATGTCAATTGAACTTTTGACCTATGAGGGAGAATATCCCTTAGGTTGAATAGAGCGCTTTCAATCACTCAATATAGATCTTTGAATGAGTGTGATAGAATCTATAATAGTTGTAATTGGTTGTGAGCAACTCAATGGCCTACGCATGTTACGCCTCTCCGGGTAGAGCAATTGAGCAGGGTTGGATGCACTCGAATAGGGGGTCCAACGTAGTCTAGAAGTCTCTGTGGTGGAAATATCGAGTCGATCAATCTAGGTTAGTACTCAGCATCGGTCCAATTAAGGAGCTAGGGAGATTTCGTGCCTAAGTGAGCTCCCAACCTTGTAATTAACTAGGGTATTGGTTAGTGTAGCTTAGTTTATTAATCACTATTCTTGTTTGACTAGATAAAAAACTTAAGTTGAAGTAACATTACATCTAGTGACCCATTGTTCAATAATTTTATTACTTTCCTTACCTTATACTACACCCGATCGTTGATGATGTTTGATCTTCAATTGGGAGTGTGTAGTTTAGTCCGAGCCATACACTCTAAATATATTTGGGACTCATGACATTCACATACCTCATGGGTACATTTAATCTTCACAACATTAAATTATCTCGAGTTAAAACACTCAAGTTGTGGGGCCACTCTTGTATAACACATAGCTAAGGCCTAATAGTAAGCCAACAACTAGCGGTTAATATACCAACAACTCACGCCCATCACGCTGTCCAAAAGTTTGAGCATACACAACCAACAGTTAGAGCCTATTGATGCTAATAGATAAGGCTGGTGAGTGAAATCTCAACACATGAGTTTTTAATTTTAGACTTTGCTAGCATTTGGAAGATCAAATTTCAATATGCTAACACTTTGCCATGAGAAAAGTCTTATCTTCTATGCTTGCATAATATATATGGGCTCCATAACCACTTGTACATTTGATTAGATGTAGGCTACTCCCCACAATCTAACACCACCAACTTACGGAGCTACCTCTCACAGCGTAACGCTATTAAAAGATGGAGTCACAACATCTTGCCTAAGACCTCTTTGCCAATCACCTAAATTTTAGCCAACAAATTAGCTCTAACATGCCAATAGCTTACGCCCATCATACAATACAACCCAACAGCTCGAGCATACACATCCAATACTTAAGACCGTATTAACGTTGACAACAAAAGGCTAACAACAATACAAACTTAACGACTCACACGAAATCAACACAAAAAAACAAATCAATAATCCTGCAACTCACGTAAGATGAAAATGAAGAATTTGATGATGCGGAATTGAAATAGAACACAGAACAACGAATTTTACGTGGTATCCTCGATCGATTGATTGATCGAGACTAATCCACGGTGAGCTCGGAAGAGCTCACGACTGACGTTTTGTTATTTGAGGACTACATCTTGACGGCTTGCTTACGACAATCTCCATAGCTAAGCTTATATAGACGTAGGGGTAAAACTCTAATGACAACCAAGTTTCCGTCTTTGACAAGGACAAGGAAACAAGGGACTTGGAGGATAAGGAATTAATTATTTTTGACTAAATAATTAATATCCTCAACACTCCCCCTCAAGCGAATACATGAGTGACAAGAATGTCGAGCTTGAAAAATGAAATGTGACAAACAAGCATGACAAGGTTGAACAACAAAACTCGAGATGAATAACATCTCGGACGAGGTTGATTTGGAGACGACTGACTCTCTCCCTTGAACAACCTGATGAAGACGGTTGAGTGCATCTTCTTGAATGTCGTGACGATACGATTGATTGCGTCTCTTGAACGACCGGATGGAGACGGTTGACTACGTCTCTTGAATGACTTGACGGAGACGATTGACTACGCATATTTGTATAATATGATGAAGACGGTTGACTGCGCCTCTACCTGGATGAGATTGAACAAGAGGCTGTTGACTGCGCCTCTCTTGAATGAGACCGATCGAGAGACTTCTGACTATCATCTCTCTTGAACGAGACTGGGGAACCTCCTTGACTGATACACCGTGGTTGTTATGCTGAACTGATTGACCACGTAAGATGATGCTCTATTCTCCCCCTCAAGCTGAGCATGAACATAGTGAATGCCCATCTTGAAAGTTAGAATGGCGAAGGTAGAAAATTGACCAATTCTGAATGTCGAGGGGACGATCGCTACTTGTATCGTGACTGCCTCGCTCCACGACTTGAGGAAACTTTGTTGTAAAAAGTTTTCTTTCTCTCCAACACCGAGTACTTGCAAGGATGGATCGTGATTGTCTCCTTGCCATGACCTTGACTGATGTTGGTGAAAAATTGCTTGCTACGTGACTTTGACAAAGACAACCCCAACTTTGACGATTGATGACGGTTGAAACAAAGCAACCAAACTCCACCACGAACTGATTTTCAACAATGTCCATGTACTTCCTTTGACCGAACAAACTCCTACCAGCCGTTCTCCCAAGCTGAATTAACCAAACAACACATGAATTGATCTAATTCAATGAAAAGAACAAAAGTTCTGCATCCTTGTCCACAAAACAACAACCAAAGTGGAGCACTGAATTGAGAAGCAAACAGCTTCGTGTACTTTTGGGCGGGACAAGGTGAAGGGGAATAATAGAGCTTGTTGTCATTAGGAACGGAAGGCTAGAGGGTTCTAGGGGATGGAAGGGACCAAAAACGAACTCACTGATACCAATGAGGAGAAGACTCGCCGCAACGATTGGAAGATCGAATTGGAGTCCAAGACGTGGATATGTGACGTCGCGGCCTGATCCCCCACTTGATGCTGGGTCGGAGAGAGTACGCTGACCTTGATGAAGACAATCCCGCCGCAACGACCGGGTTTCTCGACAAAACACAAACATAAACTTTGACCTTGTATATGGCCTAGCGTGGCCGTTGACTAGACGAGGGTTTGAAACCCTTATGTGCGACCACGGCAAGACATGGACGTGCACAACGGCGGCGACATACTGGCGACGATGATGTTGCAATGGCGATGCACGGATAGTGGGAATCTTCCCTCCAGTTCTCAAGCTTGACTCTTCTTCGGACTTGAGGAAGCAGCTCAAAACTTAGGAGCATTGTTGACGCCGACTTGGATCCAAAACAAACCTTCTCGCAGCCGTTCCTTTTAGCATCCTCGTCGTCCGGCGACTGGCGATGATGACGACCAGCCGTGACAAGGACGACGATCGATAACAAGAGCACAACCGATGATGACGGACGCCGACTTTGATACGGATCCGGAGTAGAAGGCCGGAGTGGACATCGACTCTTCTTTCAACGGCAAATGTGACTATCGAGGTGACATCAAGATGATGGTGGAGAGACGTCAACATTGAGTTGATTGCCGGCGGTGGCTACTGTGAAGGTAGCTTTTGAAATTGACTGACGACGACAATTGACGATTGATGACATCAGGGATGACAGATCCCATCGACCTCAGTGCGGACTCGTCGGACATGACGGGGACAACGCACAGAAGAACCAAAACGAGGGCAGAAGCGCAAACCCTAACAATGGACCGAGGTTAGCTCTGATACCATGAAGAATTTGATGATGCAGAATTGAAATAGAACATAGAACAACGAATTTTACGTGGTATCCTCGATCGATTGATTGATCGAGACTAATCCACGGTGAGCTCGGAAGAGCTCACGGCTGACGTTTTATTATTTGAGGACTACATCTTGACGGCTTGCTTATGACAATCTCCGTAGCTAAGCTTATATAGACGTAGGGTTAAAACCCTAATGACAACCAAGTTTCTGTCTTTGACAAGGACAAGAAAACAAGGGACTTGGAGGATAAGGAATTAATTATTTTTGACTAAATAATTAATATCCTCAACACTCCCCCTCAAGCGAAGACATGAGTGACAAGAATGTCGAGCTTGAAAAAGGAAATGTGACGAACAAGCATGACAAGCTTCAACAACAAAACTCGAGATGAATAACATCTCGGACGAGGTTGATTTGGAGACGACTGACTCTCTCCCTTGAACAACCTGATGAAGACGGTTGACTGCATCTTCTTGAACATCGTGACGAGATGGTTGTTTGCGTCTCTTGAACGACCTGACGGAGACGGTTGACTGCGTCTCTTGAATGACTTGACGGAGACGATTGACTACGTCTATTCGTATGATATGATGAAGACGGTTGACTGCGCCTCTACCTGGATGAGATTGAACGAGAGGCTGTTGACTGCGCCTCTCTTGAATGAGACCGATCGAGAGACTTCTGACTATCATCTCTCTTGAACGAGACTGGGGAACCTCCTTGACTGATACACCGTGGTTGCTATGCTAAACTGATTGACCACGTAAGATGATGCTCTATTCGTATGATATGATGAAGACGGTTGACTGCGCCTCTACCGGGATGAGATTGAACGAGAGGCTGTTGAATGCGCCTCTCTTGAATGAGACCGATCAAAAGACTTCTGACTATCATCTCTCTTGAACGAGACTGGGGAACCTCCTTGACTGATACACCGTGGTTGCTATGATTGCTCCTTCAAATACAAGATATAAAAAGTAAAGGGACAAATATTGGAATATCGTATTAATATGCCTAATACAAATAATGACTACATCACTTGAGCTCTCCAGATCACTTTAAGGCACCTCACCTTAGACATCTCAAGAAAGAAGCCCCAAACTCAAGCTCGCCAACCTAGTGGATCCTCTCTTCCCTTCCCACACATTCACCATATACTTTCCATATGCTATCTCTCTACTTTAATGATCTGGTTCCCTAATCTAGGTCCGAACACCATTATTCAAAAGAAAATTTAGCCACCTTAATTGTAGGGGGGAATGAATGAAATGAGCCAGATTTAAACGTAGTCATGTTCGAATGTAGTTTAGTTGTCATTAGGGGTGACATTTAGACCATGACCACGGGTAGTTGATCGTCACTCCCCCGCACTGATTGTGCATGAGGGGTATGGGTAAACCCGCAAAACGTTTGATGGGTATGACGAGTATGGTTTTAGCCTCCCCCGCCCCATACTCATACCCACCCCACCAAGAGCATTTCTTCACATATATAAAATACATGGATCAAATTGTAAACTCAAATTGTGACTCTTGAAAATAAATAGTAGAAATGCAATTGAGTGTCCACCCAAAATCAAAACCTAATTCATTTTTCTCAACGCTCCCTTTATTCTTTCATTTTTTTCCCTCGTGTTAACAAGATTATGTTAGTTAGTTATTACTTAGTAGATGTCTCAGAGTCAATGGATAATGATTTTGATTATATTATATATCTATCTTATGGATTAATTAATGTTTTAGGATAAGATGCTTTGAATCGTGTTAAGAATGATTGTCCCTTTGTCAACTTCATATTATACTAGATGCGTTTAATATTATAATTGAAAATTTACATGTACAAATTAGATATTATAATATTGGATGTACATGTCGGGTATTACCAATAGATACCCCAAACCCACGAGTATGATTTTGCAAAACCTTCTCACATGAGTATGGGGCGGGTATAAGTTTGGAAATTTGAAAACGGCATGTGAATGATGTAGTCAAGCCTGCCCATTGTCTTCCTAGTTGTCATCCTTAATCCTTGTGATTAATAATTGATTATCATAAATTGAGAATATAAAAACAGCGCGGCCAATGGGCCGGACACAAAGACAGTTTATAGAAGAATTCGCATGGGCTTAATCATCCACCGATCATGGTCGAGTACTTTTCCTCCAACGAGTCAAAAACGTAAACAAGAGCGCTTGCCTGAGACGAGTTCAACAACGTAACCCTATGACTATGAGCACCATCGCAGATACATCGCCGGAGGAGAAATCCAGGCCATCGACGCCCAGCAGTTTGCCGGCGGAAATCACGTCGAAAGCACTAGCGGAAGCCACTCCATGGATCGACAGCGCCGTGCAACAAGCCCTAAGTTACCAAAAGATCGCAGAAGAGAAGCTCGACGCTTTCATTGAAACCTCCAGATCCCGCATCTCTGAAATTCGCTCCACTGGTTCCGCACACCTTGATCAGACAATCGTACTCTCTAATATATCCTCAAAATTGGTTCCGAATTGGAAAATTGCTGAATTTTTTTCCTGGATAAGAGCAGGTTCTTGAGAATTTTACATTGACGCAATTGGTTATTGATGCAGTACTCTCTACAATGTGCCGTGTCGGAGCTTGGTGTTTACGAGGCCTTGGCATTTGCAAAGCTTAACGGTACATTTTCAATCCTTCGATGAGGAATTCCCGCTTTCGTTTTTTTTTTTCTTTTTTCTTTCTGCGATTCAATGGTGGATTGATGTTCATGTCTCGGACATTTTCGTCGCAGAGGGTGTTAAGATTGCAGCTTCGCATCCACTTATCACAACTGGGGTTACTGCCGGCTTGGGGCTTGTGCTGCTTAAGAGTATGACTCTTGAATGATGCTTTCCTCCCTTCCACAGTGTTGAATAACTGGAATTAGAATTGACGAAGAGTTCGTTCTTATCCATCAAATGCAGGACCAAGGCGATATATTTACTACAAAGGCGTACGCCTTTTTTCGAGCGAAGAGGTGAGAACCATCGTTCTTTGTTGGTAGTGAGCTTGGCAGCTAAAGCTGTATGATACTGTCAGTTCTTGGCGATTGCTCAACCCACAAGGCATAATGTCAAAATGCACTTACCATGTTCCAATTCAGTAGTCAATTTAGGTTGATGACACCATGGTCTTGAATCGGAAAACGATTACCTAATGACAACAATATCGACCTGTAGTTGTACAGCACTGTTCTTACCAGTTAACAACTCTGGCCACTGTTTTGCAGCTTGTTAGTTATTTGCACTACTGAGAATTGATAGCAATGGTATGATTAGTTCCCATTTCCGTTGGTAACTTCACTGAAGCTCAGAAAGCAAGTCAAACCCTATCTGTTTCTAGCTAGTACCTAACTGCTTCAGTCTGTACATTGATTGGCTATTCCTCTGCCTTCCTATAAGGTTTGTCTTTGGCTGTTACTTTATACCCATTGGCAATACCATTAAGTATGTAACTTGTGCTACTTCATTACTATCTCTTAGTTGTTCTCATTTGTCACCCCACTGAAGGTCTATCTTATCGAGTTTTGGACATAACTTTGTGCCTTCTGAATCCAGACATTGCTTTCTCATGCTGATGCTAAAGTAAAAGACTTGCGCCAGTCTATTAGTCGCCTCAAGGCTGAGAGTGAAAAACTGGAGGTAATAAGCATTTCTTTAACGGGTTACTTTCCAATGTAACAATAATCTAGTCTGCTGCTTCAGTGAAGGGAATTTGGATTTGAATGTTTTGCTTGTTTAATGACTATATATATCAAGTTCCATTTTCTGATGGTAGCAACATCTAACTGCAAGATAGGAAATTTGCATTAGGTCCATTTTCTTTACCACAGTTTCAGTGCTTAGTTGTCCCGTAGGACATCTTTCACTTTCCTCTTTGCACCATAAAGTAAACAAGCCAAAGGAAACATAGCAAACTGGGAAAAAACATAAATTGGTTGAAGATTTCTGAATCACTTAAACCACCAAGACTTTGCATTTTACTGAGTAGCTTTTGATGGATTAAGCTCTTATGCTTTCAGCGAACAACATCACTAGCTGAAGGACAGTTCATTAACGGAAGGGTGAAACTCAGGTTTGCTTTCCAATATATATAAATGGGGCGCAACAAGTAGGTTTTTTACCTTTTCTTTGTTTTCAGAAAACATACAACTTACATTTTGTTCATCTTATGGTACAGAGATGCAGGGAAGCGGATCCAGGGTATGATTCGTTCCGCCTATAAGATTGAACGGCAAGCTGCAGGTATCTGATACTTCCTGTAGCCACCGTTCCCATATCTCGTGTTTCCTTTACAAGTTAGTTGCATTTTTTTTAATCAGGCTTGAAGGATGTTCTCCGGGAACTGCCCGGCAGAGAAGCATATCGGTTTCTGTCACATGTAAGTAGCTGTATGTATACACTCAAAGTAGTACGCTCGCTACTGTATTCTTCAATCTTGCTGCGATGCTGCACAACTATTGTCATCATGGATGGATGCAACATTGACCCCTCTGTTACATTCTGATAATTGAGAATCTCGTGACTTCATTTCAATTACACATGGCCAGTGCAAAGGGCGAGCATCTATATTCTTTTTAAGTTGCTCTGTGTAATTGTGGAGCGCATCTAATTTGGGGTGTTGGGGCACGTCCAGGTTAATGACCTCACTTCTGAGGTGAAGAAAGAGAAGCATGCATTGACCAAGGAGGTGACGAAGATCAGCAACTTTGGGATCTCAGTATGATTTACCCGGCGTTTTTTCTTTTTGGCTTTATGACGGTGGTGTTGATATTTTTTCAACAATAAGCTCATGAACACAAAACGATTGGTGTGGTTTCATACGGGCCTACTTACACTTGCATTTTCTAATCCTCTTGGTTTTCTTTGTGCTGCTTTTTCATGATCGATTCCATTATCTTCTTAAACAAAGCCTTTTCCGATTCCAGTTTCTGTCCTCTTCTCCATGCTCCGTAAAGAGCTTAGCAGACCAGACTTATGTTGTTTTTAGATATAACTTAAAAACTAGATTTCGGCCCGTCCGTTGGTCGGATGAATTTTATCAGAAATATAGTAATTGTTTGGAATGGGACATGTTTTATTTCATACCATATGAATTTCAAATCATTTCATTACTGAGAATATCATGCTCGTATAATTTTTACTATGCTAACCTGATTTATTGACTAAAGTCCTGACTAAAAGTAAAAAACAAAAGCCATCCAAGAAAATCTATTCCTAAAAATTTAGTGAGCCCGCACTATTTTCTCTGGCTATAAAAAATTAGTGCAAATTTAATTTTGAATCTCATTTGGTCTCTCAGCCTCCGCCCTCTAAAGCACCAACATCTGCACCAATTACATGAATTTGCTTTCCTTAACGAAATCTTTATCTTCAAAATATGTTGTTCCTTCTCTTTTTCTTTTATTTCTCATTGGAACCCAATCTTAAATAGTGAAATATTTGAAAACACTAAATATTACATGCAATATAAATTACGTCTCATGATCATTTAATGAGATTTGTTCCTTCTCAGATAATCAACCCATGGATCAACATAAATTTTATAATGTAAGATGAAAACTTAATGAATAACCTTTAGGGTTGACTACTCTCCAATAGATATGTTCCTGTTTTTTCTTAATATCTTTGCATATTTTATTGCCCAATTTGTAAGTTATGAATCAATCAGCAAGGTGAGGCCCATTTTTCTAATAATATAACGAAAAATTGATGGGGATATGATTAGGAATCGCTGCATAGATCGGGAACCATTATAAAAGATATGATAGTTTCATGAATCCTGTTGTACATGATGCTAGAATAACATTTTATTAATATAATTAATTTGATTTTTTGTTAAAATTTATAATTTCAATTAGAAAAAACTAAAGATGATTAATCAAATAGTAATAAGGAGTCGTTATGCACCTTGAATTATACACCTAATCTGATAATAAACTAACAATAAGCTAAATTACCTCAATGGATACAATAAAACCATATGCTAATAATAGTTTTAACAAATATATATAGAGGAATATGTTTCATACCATTGGTTGTTTCATTTACAAAAAAAATGAGAATTTATTTAGAGTACAAATTAAACTTGTACCTTTAATGTTATAGTTAAATTTAGTTTGTGTTTATACATTTTCGTACAAATTTCTTTTAGTACAAACTGAACTTGTGTCGGTACAAATTTAGTTTGTACCAATATCTTTTTAGACAAATTCATTTATGATACAACCCAAATTACTTTGTGATATAAAGTGAACTTATCCTTCACCGTTATAACACAAATTAAAATTGTATATGCAAAAATCAATACTTTCAAGTATAGTAAATAAGCTCATATATAACATAGCATGTTAATTAAAAGGGATGTCCTTTTTTAGTTGGAGTCCGGATTAGTTTTTAATAAATAAGTGAATGTTTTAGTCCCGGACCAAAGAATCTCTCATATATCAACGTAACATGTTAATTAGAACTTAAAAGTGATGTCCTTTTTTGGTTGGACTTTGGATTTGTTTTTAATTAATAATTAAAGTGTCTTAAGCCCATAAAATGACCAAAGAATCCCTCCTTACTATGCGCATAAGTAGGGGCGTGCAATGGTTTGGTTCGGTCTGGACCGGACCAAACTCATGAGAACCGCGGTCCATTAGTGAAAGACATGTTAGGACCAAGGACCGGACCATTCTTGCATTTGGTCCATTTGGTCCGGTTCGGTCCGGTCCAAATATGAGTTCGGTCCACTATTTCTTCAGTAATTATAAAATTCATTAGGACCAAGGACCGAACCGCATTTTACTCGGTCTGGTCCGGTCCGGTCTTAACAACGGTTTGGTCCGATGTGATCCGGTACGGACCGGACCATTGCACACCCCTACGCATAAGCTAGAAAAAGATCAACAGAGGTGGTGCTCAAGCGGAACGTCTTTATATATTTGGAGGATTAAGATATTGTGAAAAGATATATTGTTTTAACCAAAGCCAATTTCAGTCAATTGATTGTATCCAGCCCGTTAGTCGGTTGCAATATGAATTATGATTACAGTAATTGACAAAGCTTCTAAGTTTACATTTCATTAATCTCCTCTTATATCCATGCAATGATTATATGTCAATGTTATGTAATTCAAGAAATGATAATATCAATTTTATAAAATAGCAAACTAGTTACTTAGTTTTTACTACAAAGAAAGTCAAATTATTCAATTACGGGAAAAATAGAAAATAAGCATCCATCATAAACATTATTAACATTGTAATTAGTGCCTTCTTTATATATATTTGTTGAAATTAAACATATAGGTACTCCTAAATGACCGTATAGCCTCTTTACAATCAACATTCTTCATTCCTCAACTATTTTTAATACATTTTCAGCAATGGTTCTAAAGAATCATGAAATCTGGATAGGTTCTATATTCTGCATAGCATCATTAAAGATTCTTTAAAATTTCAACTTATTGTGATGTTTAGACCATTCGATGCTTATATAATATATTATGTGCTACTATAGTTGTTTTCCCGGTGAGAAAATCTAGATGGAACAAAATTGAATGCACATTTGACTTCCAAACAAACGATTAACAAACACAGTTCACACCTATTTGAACAAAGTTCAAACAAGGGTGTTCAATATTCTGATGAACCACGAGGCAAATCTACATTATATTAGCCCTACTCCTATGGAGGTTCAGTGAGAGCTCCAAAACTACGACTATGGCTAAAGTTGCAGAGGAAAAGAGAAAAAGATAAAACTTGACAAGTGGTGTCGACTTGTGATTTTTGCAAACCCTTTCTCCGTCATCTTCACCTCCTTATTATAGCCACTAGAAGTAACTGTCTCGAGAAACTGCTCTGCTGACGTGGAGTGGTGGTTACCCTCTCAACTGCTTCGATTATGCCCTGCCATTGGTGGTTGTATCTTCTTCAGTCTTGGCCCCCTCACCTTGATAGTTATGCTAGTTGAGAAAAATGAAGAAGGCGTGAAGACCCCTTTGCTACATGTGGGTGGGTGTTGGGATCCGATAGAGTAAAAATGGCAAAAATAGTTCACCACTACGATAGCGGCATACTTGGCCAAATTTCATTCCCGAGGGGGTTATACTTAGCCAAATTTCACTCGTTCTTGTCATACTAGGGGGTGCCCCCCCCCCCTGATCCTAATGAGGTTGATCCCCACCCCCTGATCATACCACAGGGGTTGGTACGTTGGTGCCCCCCTGACCACCTCAAAGGGTTTGCTCTTTGCCATCCTCATAATCTTCCATACTTAACCAAATTTTCAACCCAACTCACCACACTAAGGGGTATGGTGATCATACTCGTGATCACACCATAGGACCCCTTGCCTTGGCCGAATTCGACCATCCAACTCCGCCATACCACCCTCCTCCTCACTCTAGGATCACACCATGGGGCACCATCATTCTCCATACTTAGTCATATTTCACTCCAATGACTCCATGACCTCTCACCCCCTCACTATGTCCTAAGGGTGGCAGTATGCTACCCACCCCAATATGGTGGCCACACCCCTCGTTACCTACTGGGGGTGGACATATGGTGGCCACCCCCTTACCACGTCCTGGGGGTGGCGGTATGGTATCCACACCCCCTGCCACGTCCTAGGGTGGCTCCAACATTTAGCCAAATTTTGGAATAGATGACAAGAGTGGCGCGTAGAGTGGCTTTGGCATGAGTGCCATGAGTCCAAAAATCCAATCCACATGGCCCATTTTAATTGATTTAAATTGTTATAATTAAGCTGGCCTTATAAAGCCATTTAATTCCTTGTTTTTGACCGATGTGGTACAAGGTTAATTTTAATGGGTAAACAATAGTATTGTTTTTAGGGGTAATACCACTGGAAATACCATTCTTTAACGAAAGTGCTATTTATATTACATGCTTTCAATAAACACAAAAATATTCCAACCTATTAGGGGTCTGCGTCATTTGTGTTACGCAATTTTCTGTTGACCGTTAGATTTGACGGTTGACCTGACGGTGGCCAACATTGTGTCCATGCAAGCACCAAGTGGATGCCACGTTGGAAAAAAAGAATAAAAATTTTGAAAATATTATTTATTATTTATTTATTATTATATTACAAAATTAAAATAATTTTAACCCCCCCACCGTGAATTCGCCCTCCGACGACCAAACTTTCCACCACCAGGCACTTCATCGATCCATCTCCACGCCGCCACTTCTCCTTCCCCTTCATTCCCACTTCCAGAATCATTCCCAGCTTCCTCCCACTCCAACTTCTCCAAATCCAGCCTAAGTATCAGCATCGTCGAGCAAGAAGGGTTCAACGAGAAGGTCGACTTCAACCCACCAATCATCAGCAGCTTGTTCCCATCCCCACGCACCAAGCGAGGCCGCTTGATGAGATCGAATATATCCGCCCATTCATGCTTCTCCAAGCAAACCCAGTTGTTATGATTCGAGGAACACGAAGAGAACACCCCACTCCCACTCCCACAACCAACACCCAATTGCTCATGAATTGGAACCGAATTATTCAAATTCAAAGTACAGGTGAACAATTTCCACTGAGATCGCCATGGGGAGCCAACATCGCACAGGGCAAAAATCGAGCCGGAGATCAAAACAGGGCTCCTAGGTTTCGCAGGGAGATTGGAAGCGAAAGTTACCCATGAATCGGAGCAGGTATAGGGCGGCGGCGGAAGCGACGGGGTGGAGGGAGCGGCGGCGGAAGCGTCGGGCAGGTACTGGGCGGCGGCGGAAGCGTCGGGGTGGAGGGGGCGGAAGGGGAGGAAGGAGAGGTCGAAGCGGCGGCAGCGGCGACCGGTGGGGTCGAAGGCGGGGAAAGAAGGTTGAGGTGGGGGAGGAAGGAGGTGGTGGTGGTGGTGGCGGCGGTTGTGGAGGAGGGCGGAGGGCGATGAGAGAGAGGGGAGGTTGGGAGGAGAGGATGAGGGAGATGGAGGAAGGAGAAGTCATTTGTTTGGCGGAAGGATCTGCAGTGGGAGGTGAGAATTGTTTTTACTTTTATTTTTTTATTACATTTCATTAAATAAGCCACGTCAGCGAGCCATGTAGGATCCTATTAAGCGCTGACTGGGCGTTGAAAAGTCGCCCAGTTATGTTTAACAGCCCAACTAACGGAGAAAATATTTTAGTATACAAATGGCATATCGAAAACGATGTAATATTAATGACACTTTCGTTAAAGAATGGTATTTCTGGTGGTATTAGCCCTTGTTTTTAATGTAATGATAAGTTTTTAGGAAATGACTCTTATGTGATGTGTTATTGTCTTATGCATGTATGGAGTGGAATGATCCATCATTCATGCTTGTATGAGTTAAATGCTTGATACCTTAGATCATCAATGTTATAAACCATTGCAATGATTTATAAATACCCTAAGTAGTTAATGTTAAACCTGGCAATCGGGTTGGGTTGGGGTCTCGGGTTACGGGTCGGGTCATGTTGGGTGGCTGATTTCGGGTCAAATATTTACCCAACCCATCAGATTTCTGATCGGGTTACAGGCCCTTTCGGGTTATGTGCACACTCGGAAACACTATCAAACATACTTCATATTTTTTTAAAGAACACAAATTTTCAAATATGCATGACAATAGTTTACCTAACACATGTCAATTAATTCCTTCTCAAATCATCCCATGCTAATGAAATGAAATACAAATTGCACAAATCGTCAAAAAACAATTATAAGAATAATACTACTATAAGAAACACATGATATTTGATTATTCTTAAACTCCAAACATGTCTTTCAAATTCTTGTGAATTGTTTTAAACATCTCACCAATTTATGAGTGATTTTATCATTTTGGAAGTGACATATGAAATAGAACGGGTCGACCCATTAACTCGCCCACCCCGACACAAAAAACACGGGTTAATCGGGTTCGGGTCATTCTGGTTTTGGGTTATACAAATCCCTATTTTTGGGCGGATTTGGGTCAGGTCAACGGGTCGGGTTGTAATTTGCCAGATCTATTAATGCGCTATCCTTACTTCTTTGTTTCATTGATTAGTTAATGGACATGAAGCGAAAATGCGCATTAGCTAGTAGTTTTTCCTTATACATGCGGCGAAAACTCAATTAGGAATGTTTTAGTGGAAGGGATAGATTAACATGGTAGAAGATGCATCGATGTATGTTATTGTAATATTATTGGGATTGAGATGAATGATAACCTAGAATGACCTTTCTTAATAAATGTGTATTACTTATCTTGTCATTTACTTTATGTTTTATTTATCTATTCCTATCTCGAAAATAAACTAAACATAGAGAACCTTAACCCTTCGATTGTTGTTATTGTTATGTTTTTATTTTATCATAAATGATTACTTATGAGTAGTTGTTATTAAAAGACATTGAGGAATACGATCCTAAACATATCGAGAAATTATTATTTTGATGCATTACTACACTTGCATCATTGAGCAGGGGAAAAGAGTCATTTCATGGAGATCGAAGGGAATATATGTATATCGAGCAAAAATTGAAACAATTCCCATTCATCAGTACAAAGCTTCTAAAACAAACCAATGAAAACTATTTTATAAAACGAAATGTTATATACAACCACGATGGTTGACATTTCGTCAAACCACAACTTGTACTGGTAGAACTGGTCACCATGCTGACGGGTGTTGGCCGGAAGCCATCGAACACCACGTGGGAATTAGTCCTCGGTAATCTGTGCTCTCGTCTCTGTATGTCGTGGTGCTAAATGTAGAAATGGCTCCCACGCCCAGAGCTGCAGTAAGGGGATCCATCCACCAAGGTCACCTCCTAGGGAAGAGGAGTGCGTCATGTGCAAAACCGACCTACCCATCTCACGGTACAAGTAGTATAAACAGCTGCTCCCCAGACAAACCGTCCAGCTCTCTGCCAATCCTCCACCAAGAGTAGGTACTGTAGATGAACCGTAGCTCCAGTCCGATCGGTGAACAATACACCTCCCGTTAGAGGTAGTGCATATCCTCGTGCAAACTGCTCTGTAGTCTCGGGTGATGCATTTGCCGGCAGATTATTGAATCCCCCCTGAGCCAACTAATCCTAACGGCACCGCTAGAAAGATCATTAGGAACCCGTCCTAAAAATTTCACACAGGTCTCCTACCACTCCTCATCTGGTATGTCTACTATGACGGCAACACCGTCGATCGCTAGACCGGTCAGTGTCACAACGTCCTCTAAAGTTATTGTAACCTCACCAAACGGCAAGTGGAAGGTCGATGTCTTGGGTTGCAAACGCTCTACGAGTGCAGTAATCAAACTTGCATCAGCAGACATGGGGACCAATTCCAGAACACTAATCAAGCCCGCATCGATGAGGTACGTCTAATAATGTGGATGATACGTGACTATATGGGTCGTACCTCGAATGTGGTAAACTCGATTACCAACCTATAGTACACAAAACTTATATTAATTCAATTTCATGAGTAATTCAAATTTCAATTCACATAGTTAAATTTATCTAATCCAAATTAAACTTATACTAATTTCAAAAAATTCATATGTAATTCTATTCTAATTTCAGTTCAGTTCACCTAGTAAAAATCTATAATAGTCTTATCTAACTAACTAATGAACTTTAAATAAGTAGTTATGAAAGACTTACCTCGTTTGCCCAAACTGAGTCGACACAATGTTAACCATGTGCCCAAAGAAGTACCGAATTGACCGGAGCAGGATCAATTTTCGTAAGTGGTATTCTCATGGAATAACTGTCCATAAGTCTAGGACCTGGGAAAAAAAATCAAAACATAATTATGCCGGCTAGAATCCTGCTGCCGGCGACGAAAATCCTGCCGGCGGTGGCGAAATCCTCACCTCGATACCGGCCACCGTCGCCGTGAGCTGCTTGCCGCCCTCTCCCCCTTCCTCTGCCGGCGACTGCTTCCTCGTTGGTTTCGTACATCCTTCTGCTGGAACCAAAACCAACCAGATCTACTAGTCTCCACGGCCCACGCGAGGGAACAAGAAAATTGCCGGCGGCGAATCCGCTTGGGGCTGAGGCGAATGTGGCCCTGTCTTCGACGGGTCCGCTTGAGGCGGAGGCGAAGCCGCCTTTGTCTTCGACATGTGCGCTAGAGGTCAGTCAGATCCCCTGCTGGAAGGAGGAAGGAGATGCGGGTGGTGGTGGTTTTTTGTTTGGAGAAGAAAAAGATAAGATAAGAAGGGGGCGGAGAAATAAAAAAAAAGGAGGGGAGGGCGCGTCCGTTCGAGTCTCAAGCGCCTCCACAGATCGTTCAATACATCCGCCTCATACTCGAGCAGATTCGTATAATCTAAACTAAAAATCTCAAAAAACATATTCACCTGAGTGTAAGACGAACTCGCTGTTTCTTCCCTCCAAAAAAACAATATCTCTGCCAATACTTTTAAAACGGCTATTTCTGTGATAAATAAATAAATAAATAACTATATTTTGACAATTAACTCATAAAACGGAAAATGGTAAAAAGTAGAGTTCCGTAAAAGAGAAGAGGATGGCACAGCCGGGATGCAACTGTCATTTTCCTATCTAATTTTTTAAGGTTCGTATATATATACAGAGAGAGAGATAGTGGGCCTAAACTAGTTTAGAATTATTGATTGGGCTCACCCAACCCCAACCCCAACTGAAAGCGACTGCAAGTAACTTGTGGTGTACCTGTGTTGTGCTACCTTTTTTTTCATTTAATTTATTTTTCTTGATTTGTTCTTGGGGGGCTCAACTAAAATTTGGATCATTAGCTAATCACTTCATAAAAGCATTTCCTTCGTGGGATTTACAAACCGATAGTGAAATAAATATTTAGGAAAAAAAAAATGAACGTATTAATTCCCTCCCTTAATATATATTTAATTTCTCGTCCATTGGGTAAAAGAAAGGCAATACATAAAGTGAGAGAGAGACTCCCTATGCGATTTGCCTGCTTCTTTCTTGCCCTCTTTTCTCTCTCTCCCCTCTCATTTCTGTCTGTTTCTCTCTCTTTCCCCCGTACGAGTCTATCTCGTTCATCTCTTTAACACCAAGAAGAAGAATGGTGGATGATAATGATAATGATTTGCAGACGGCAGCAGTGGTGTGTTGCATGTGCGGCGATGTGGGGTTCTCGGAGAAGCTGTTCCGCTGCAACAAATGCCGCCACCGTGTCCAGCACTCGTACGGCGTTTCAGTATTCTGATATTCGGATGTTTTCTTCTTCTTTTGTTGTTGTTGTGAATTGATGTGTTGGGTGGGTGGGGGGTAATTATCAGGTACTGCAGCAACTACTACAACCAGTTTTCGGAGGCGGTGGAGCAGTGCGATTGGTGCCGGAGCGAGGAGAGGAGGGCGGCGCCTTGGAGGAAATCGCAGGACGGAGGTAGCCGATCCCACTACTCCGGGCTGAAGATCAAGCAGCAGCAGCAGCAGGAGGAGGAGGAAAGTACAAGCAGGGATGATGGGACGAGGCCGTCGCCGGCGGCGAGGAATCACGGCGGGCTGCCGTCTCCCAAGCCTTCAACTCGGAGATACAAGCTACTCAAGGACGTCATGTGTTAGTGTGTTAGGTCGCTTTGTTTTCGCTTTCTCTAGACTCTAGTGTGATATGTCATGTTATATATATAGATAATCATACTTACTTCAGTGATTAGGGAGGAGGGGTGAGGCTGTGGCTAGCTGTTTAATTAGAGATAAGAAGAACTGGGTAGCCTTTTTGGGGTTCTGTTCTGTTGTGTTCTGCTCTGCTCTGCCTGCTCTCTGTTTGTCTGTTTCTCTTAATAAAATGAATATAATAATCATAATGATAAAATATAGTTATGGTGGAGCAAAAATCTCTTGTCTCTCTTGAGTTCAGTTGCAGTGGCTGTGGACTGTGGTGGTGGTGGATTTCTACTGTTACTGTACGACTGATCGGTGGCACAATTTCTCAAGCTCCTTAATTTGCTCAAAACGTCGACCAAACTTGCAAAGAACAATAAAGGGAGTTTTTTTTTATATGAAACAGAAACACACCATAATTTAATTCGTACAATTATTTAGGTTACTATGGGATTGATGAATCAGTTGCCTACCATGCACCTACTCTCACATAAATAAATAAATGGAATGGCTTGCTGCTTGCTTAATTTACACAAAAGAAAGGATGAATGATAATATATAAAGAGTAAACAAGTTGACCACTACTTTTTCAATGTCACGTCACACGTGGGTGCTGTGGAGGCGCTCTTTTAAAGTTATAAAAGTGCTAATTACAGCAATGATGATAATCTAATCACACCCACAAAATGCCTAGCTAGTAGAAGTAGAAACAGGTTACTGAATGGGCGAAGGGGAAAGAGATGCAGTGATGAGCAAAAGCTGTGGTGGGTGGGTGGCTGGGGTAGGGTTTTGTTGGTTGCTGTTGGAAGATGGAGATGATGACCACCAGATGACTATGACAAGGTTGGTTGGGTTTATTATATATGGGCAGTTCTACGGTGCCCAGGGCAAAATCAGGGGTACGGGTAACCAGGGGCAAGGAAAATTACCAAATGCATCACGAAGCGTTTATGGTGACTTCTACGGACTTCAACCTAACTGTACCCGGTTTAATGATAGCGATTAAGAGGTTCAACCCTATGGATACGACCCGCCGCCCTAACCAATTTCCAGTCTCCCTTCTACGATCCCTCATTCGCCTTGGAGGGTCCCCTCTAACTCTAAGTTCGAAGTTCGATCATAAGCTGCCTATCAAAGCTGAAATCTCCAACAAAATCATCGTTTCGAAACCCAAATCCTTTTATTATTTGATCCACATTCGATTTAGCTCCCTATCCAATCTCAAATCCCCAACATCATCATGTTTCATACGCCAAATCTATGTATCCACATTCGAAGAGAAGATCCCCATCCAATATGAAATCCTCAAATAATCATCGTTTTGAACCCCAAATAAGATATTGTATCCACAAATCGACGTTTTGTTCATCGCCATTTTATTTCCGTGCGGAATTTACTCGTCTTTCTCTTTCTAACACGATTACGGCGACCATGTCTATTATTGTGTTCATCAAACTTTTCGTTTGCAAAAGAACCCTTGAAAGAGATTTGCTAACCCTAGGGTTCATGTCGCTAGTGCTTTGTCATCTTGTCTTAGCGTTATTGTCATTTTCTCGAAACTTCTATCACTCGGTGAAATTAAGGTTTCCTGATATGCAGTGTTCGTCTCGCCCAGAGGATTGAGGAAGGAGATGAAGAAGACCTAATTTGATTCGAATCAGATGGAGAGGTCTCCTTAATTTGTGTTTATGTATTAACGCTGCGTTTAGGACTAATTCTAGTTGGACTGGGTCTGTCATTGATTTTTGCAGGCTTTTAAATAACATTCAAACGTGGGCTTGTACATGGACCCATGACACCTAGTTTGTTGATAATAGATACTGAGTTCCGGATTGTCATTAGGTTGGGCCTTTGATAATTGTCTATCTCAGACTCTCAGTGGCGATTCTTTGTTTTACTTATTTTCATCTGCTTCTGCTTCTAAAATCCTGATCATTCATTGAGTTCACGCAATTTAAACATAATTCTGTGTTCCGTCTTTTTTGGAATTTGGTAAATGCTAGCGTGTCTCTTTACACATTTAGCGGTACGAGGTAAACTACAATCCGCCCAATTTAACTCTTCATTAATTGAGATCCCATTCCACTCTCTCACCGATTTCCCCTCTTTATGCAATGCACTCGTACATAACAAACCTCTTGTAGACTAATTAGAGGCTTGTGGTTGGATACTGAGTGAGGATATTTTTTGAATTTATGTTTTGAAACGAAAGTTAGAGTTTCACTTTTGAAGTACCTATGTACTTTAGTTGGGCAAGTATTTTCAAAATGTAAAATTTTATCAGCGTATAGGTATACGATTGTTGTATAAGGTGTTGATGTTAAAGGAAATGGGTACTGACTGCTTAGCGTATTAGGTTGTTGATGGTATAGAGTATATGGTATATGGGTAGGTTATAAGGTGTTGATGGTTTAGAGCATATGGGATCGATTGGTTAAAGGGTGAGGGTAGGTGTTGTCTTATTTTATCTCGATTATATATTTTCTTTATATTTGCTTATAAATGCTGATCATGCCTTATTACTAAGACATAATTCGTTATATCTGCTTATAAATGCTTTATATCTGCTTATAAATGCTGATAATTTATTGTTTGATTTGAACCTGCGTGTTTTTGCTCCGAATGATTTTGTATAAGGTGTTGATGGTTTAGAGTACATGGTATTGGGTTAGTGTATTGATCATCTCCATCCCTAAAATAAGATATTGTATAAGGTTTTGATGGTTTAGAGTATATGGTATTGGGTTAGTGTATTGATCATCTTCATCCCTAAAATTGAACAACAATTTCTAAACGAGGTCCCTACCGCCACATCATCAATTTTAGCAATTCATCACTTAACAATTTCTATTCATCTACATCCCTACATTATGCTAGTAATTGCCAAGGTGGGTTCCATTTTATATTTCAAAGGAAACACTTATTATAAATTGAAAGTTGGGGATGGAGATAGAAGAAGGTGTTGTTGGTATACAGTATAAGGTCTTGAAGGTTATGGACGTATAAGGGAGGAGCAAGGTGTTGATGGTTTAAAGTATATATGTTATTGATTGGTTACGGTATAAGCCTATAAGGTGTTGTTATTGTTGTAGAGTATATGATATTGATTGGTTCGTGTATTAGGGTTTGGTTTATGGTTTAGGGTTTAGGGTTTAGGGTTTCAAGTTAGAATAACATAAACCAGATCAATAGAGTAATGTTGGTAAACGAAAAAGTTAATTAATCTACAAATTCAGACTATTTTATAAAAGTACATCCCCATTTCCCACCGTCAATTCCTAAACTTTTCCCTTAATCCGATGGTGAAATACCTTCGATCCTCGTCGCGTGCGTGTCGCCCAATCAGATATTGCCGAGTTCGGAAAGTCGCTTTTGCCCATAACCAATGATGGCGTTACCAAGGCCGAGGCAGTGGTAGGGACTGTAATTTTCAGTAAATGTGAAGGGAGGGAAAGTAAAAGTAATTACGAGTCAATCTTTAAATCAGTGAAGGAGAGTCAATCTGAAAAGAACCCTTTCTTCCATCTTCTCAATATGAGACTCCGAAAACCATCTCCTGCTGCTGTTCGTTCCTCCTCCTCTCAATCCCTGAAAAGAACCCTTTCTTCCATCTTCTCAATATGAAACTCCGAAAATCAACTCCATCCGCCTCTCGTCCTCCTATCCCATGCTTTATTATCGGGTGCAGTGGTAATGATGAGACTGCGTATTATTTTAGATCTCAGTTCCTTTAGTTATGTAATTGTTATGACTGTTAAACTAAATCCTTCGTTGTATTGTTTCTCCTTTTCTCTCCATGCAGGGTCTTTGTTAGAGGCAGGGAGGGGAGCAATGACAATAAGTCGCCGTCTGAATATAGCCAGAAGAATCATCACATGTTGTTGCGATTCCATAATAGGTGTTGTGGAACCCTACTTCATGTGATGATTCTTCTGCGCCATATTGACGCGTACTTGTTGATCATGCTCCCAAAATGTATACAAGATAGGAAAGTTGCCATATGAGGATAAAATAGTTAGGGAAAGTACAGCTTTTTGTTTTTGTTCGACTCTATGTAACATTTGTTTATGTTTGTATACTGTTTTGTGATTTTTTCTTCTCCTTCTCTCTTCGCTTCCATGGCGGCTTCCAAAAGTGTTTGAGATCTTCTAAATCTGCAGGGGATCCTACACTCCCAATAAAAATACTGTACTTTGTACTTTAGCGTTTGAGATCTTCTAAAATCTGGAGGGGATCCTACAGTCCCAATAAAAATACTGTACTTTGTACTTTAGCGTTTGAGATCTTCTAAAATCTGGAGGGGATCCTACAGTCCCAATAAAAACACTGTACTTTATTTGTTGACTACTGACTCCATTTTTAGAAGTCTTTACGATTGGGCCAACCGGATTTTTTGCCGGATTTCGAACTCTGCTCCTCTGTAGCCACATGCTCTACACATTTAATGAGTGCTCAAAATTAGTGCAAAAAATACGATGTAATAATTGAATAAAAAAACTAGTTCTCAAGATTATTCAACTGAAATGTTGCACATGATTTATTTAGGGTCGTTTGGATGTGGAAATTTTAAAACGTTGAAACTTGTCTGAATTTACATGTTTTACAAAACCAAGGAATTGACTTGTGGAAATTGAAAAAAAAACTCACGTTTGGATAAGGTTTAGTTTGTGAGAATTGATGGTATGGAATTTGGAAAAAGAAGTAAGAAAACGTGGTAATGTCAAATTACTAGGGGGAGGTGTAGTATTCTCAATTACCATCAAGTGCTTACAAATTGCCATCAAGTGACCATTAATGAGTGCATAAATTAAACGACACCGCAAGAGCCAACAGTCTTCTTATATACCAAACGACTCGGCATAGGAGGACTTCCAGTTTCAGTTCAAGTTTCCAACACCGAGCAAATATATGGTCCCAAATGCCACTTTAGCAACTTTAACTATATATCAATTGTGACTGTGGGTCCTACTTAATTTTCGTTGCAATTCAATATTAATTGGTGAGTGTATTATATTAATTTGAGTGCATCTCTCAAGTTGTTTTTTGTCGTTGTTTTATTCGAATTATGTAATGTATTGTGATTGGAATTGTATATATGTGTGTGCTGCATGAAAATTTGCAACTGCATGAAAACATTGATCAGATGCAAATTTGCAACTTTTGTAATTGATCCCACATCAATGCAACTCACCGTCCCACTTTCACTCCTTTGCCACATCAGCTTGCAA